ACATCACAGGAATTGGTGATGACAACCTTGCAGTCTTCATGTATTCCTAAGAATGTACTACTAACTGTTCAAACAGTAACTTCATAGAGGAATATACTGGTCCCAGCAGACAGTTCAGATGCCCTCCTAAAGCATAACATTAGGAACTTCTTGTGTAAAGCCGAACATCCATTCATACAGGCGCATCTTGACCAGTTATGGGAACAAAAGGTGTCCCCGTACACACGTACAAAGGAAACAGTATGGAGAAACACTTGACTGACAGACACTCCAGAGCACAAGCTGTAGGGAGAGGCCTCCCCTCCCAAACAGACTCAATCCAAGAGTTCCATGAGGTAGAAAAATCTTATGAAAAAATGAAACTGTGACATTTCCACCAAGACAACTTTACATCTTTGGTTTTGCATATTGAAATACTAAATCCTACAATTCAAAGAGACTAGAGCCTCCTGTCTAGAAATCTAACACAAAATAGAAAATATAAGCAACTTCAAAACACACTTGCCTCTCCATTTGCAGTAACCTGCTGTGCCTTTGCTTGGTAACAGCACTTCAGCTTACCTGATTTAAAAGCAAAATCATGAATAAAAATACATTCTTCTTCCAAAGAGTATTAATCAGCTAGAAGGTGATAATTCACTGAATGGAATGTTGTAATTTCTAATTTTCCAATCCACTTGCATGAGGAAGGCTTAAGGCTCCAGGCTGCAGATTCAGTACAATGCAAATTTGGAAGACAAATCACAGTTGCTGGAACACTCCAGAGGTAGGAATGAAACAAAACAGTTTCAACATGAAAAAGTAAGTGATTAATCTTGAGCAGAAATTATAAGTGTTCCTTGGAGTAAAGAGTCCTTTTGTTGGCTGAAGGATTCTGACTCACACAAGTAGAAAAAGATGAGCACAAAAGAAAACAATTTTGATTTAAGTTTTATAAGAGAATAAAGATGATTGCCCTAGAGACTCAAAATCCAAAATGTGCCATTCATATTTAAAATTCTATGAAACTTTTGTTCTTTCTCGTCTCATTTATAATATGACAAGAAGACTAAGTATAACCACAGTTTAAGAATAGCTGATGCTCCAAGTGTACCCATCTCAACCAAAATTGCGACCTCTGCTCCTCAAATATTTTACCTCATAGTAGGCAAGTTGTCCTGCTGCAGCTTGATCACAAATTGTCAGTGGACCCAAGGTCAGAATTCAGAACTCGTTTTCCAGAAGTAATCTGGGAAACATTAAACACTGAAGAGAGACATAACAGAAAGGAACCATGTATCCATCATTATTTAGCTTCCCGAGGATGCATGCCATGTAAACATTCCATAAGCAAAGAAAGTGCAGTACTGCTTCACCTTTCCAGTCCTTGAATGCTGAATTACAATGCTCCCAGGAGAGTTCCAGGTCTTCAGTTCAGTCAGCTCACAGCTACCTAGCTGCACGCTGCCAGAGACAGCATGAACTTCATAGCAAAAAAATCCAGCTCAACCATATTCTTCAAATCCCAAGGTCTGTCCAGTACTGTGTGGGTGGCAGCAACATGAACAATAAGATGGCACAGCCTGCTAAGGGAAATTGTGTCCTAAGGGCACAAAAAATGATTCACCATGACAGCTGCATTTATATAAATGAACCAAGTATTTTTTCTTCTGGTAACAATAGATTTGTTTAGATGACAGCAAGGTGTCCCACAGGCAGAATTACTTTATTCCTTTCAAAAGGATTCTCAAAGTGTTCCGATGATGTTGAAATCTCAAACTGGGAAAAAGTGATTTTGGCTGGTGAGGTCATGTTCTCTCTCATTAAAAAGCACACTACCTACAGACTATTCCGCAGGAATCACACTTTCTAATGTGACTTGCAACTTGCAACAGTTCTATGGTAATTTTTACCTATTCAAATGCATTAGATGTGGGCTTTTTGGGGATAGGTTAATATATGTTTCAGTGTAACGTCACAACTCTACTTTTCCAATTCAATCCTTTCAGAAAAGATTCTACTGAAATCCTCTCAGCATCCCCATGGTTACCTAAACGGTTGCTCAGAGATTAAAAGGCTTCTGAAAATAGTTAAAACGCCTTACACAAAGAGAAGAGCAGTGATGTATTCTATGTATCGACAGACAGGCAGAGAAAAACTAATGGACAGGATTAACAAAGATGACTGAAGCAAAGTCCAAAAAATGCCAAACCCAACTTGATGTGTGGAAAGTAAAACTAACTTGTACCAACACTAATTCTTCCCTTTGAAAGACTGGGAACTAATAATGCAAGATAAGTTTTTTTATCTTTGTTGATGTAAACATTAAAGGAAAGAAAAACAAATTTCTAGAACTGACCTAATACTCAGCTATTATTTCATTCTTACCATAGTCAGACCATCACACTTAATGAGCAATCCTACAGTAAAACACAAGGTGACTGAAGATGACAACTGTGCTGTATTCACATAGCACAGCATGTTGCACATTCCCTTGCAAAAACCACATGTACTTCTCTCACGAGACAGGTAGCTTCAATATTAAAAAAGTAAACTGACTTGAAAAAAAACTGAAGTGTCATAAGAAACTATAATTCACAGAAAATGCTGTTTAAACAGTCAACTTTGTTGAGAAGATAGCAACTCCATTCTGCAGCAGCTGATGTTTTATTCAGAGCTGAATTTTTCAATGTGATGCACAGAAACAGCTCAACTTAGAGACAGTACAACTGCATGCATGGTCAAAGATGGATCATTATATGAGAGTGCTAGATGCGTATCTTCCTGTTCAGTTATCAATGAGAGCTGGTATTCATTCTGCTCAGTGCTGTGAAAGGTTCTACTGACAATTTCAGTGAGCGTAAGAGTAAGAGCTAAATCAGGATCAAGACAATGTATTCTGTACTGAAGGACTTCCCAGACAAAAGCAAAATCACTAATCACCAACCTCTGGTTAGGAGCCAAGCAAGGAATTAGCTAGCTATTCTCAGTTCTGCCAGCAGCAATGATGAATTTTTCCTTTTTGCTTGATTTCTTCAGTCACTGAATGTCTGGAGTATGTAGAATCTACTACAGGTTGTAGTTCTGGCATAAGTTATTTTCTTTCAGAGCCACTTCCCATCAAGAAGTTGAAGAGTGGTCTGGTAAGCATTCAAACCAACTGAAACAAATGGCAAAGATTATGGATATATTGATATTTCTGTACTAAAGAAAGGGAAAACAACTGAACTTCAGGAAAACAACAAAACCCAAGCCCTTCAGCCTTTTCTGGTCAAACAGTCTGACAACAGTCTACAATAGTATGTTTTCATAATTGAATTTTGCTTTAAACTTCAAGACTGATATATTTTCTGTCAGTACTCATCAGAGTAAAATAGAAATTAATGTATATTCTCTGCTCATTTTTCTTTAGTCCTACATGCACCACAGAATGAACAGCATGACATAACCTCTCAGTATTATCTGCTAAAATAATTTCAAAATTTGTAAAACCAGTAAACAATATTATAACTTCTGACAGACACTATCCATTTGAATGCTCCAGAAGTATTCTTTAGTCTGGAAAGAAAAATGTTAGAAAAGGATCTGGTACAGTTGTACCACCAAAAATGCAGACAAAATCACTATCAGTTCTTAAGAGTCAAGAAGAAGCATCAACTCATGGTGTGCCACGAGAACTCCAGTTTTGTTATGAAAAACTGAGTATAGACTGAAACCCATTTTACACATACCTGAGAGTAACTCCTCCAAAGTGAAGCTCACCTGATTTCCACAGCAATACACAGTATTCATTTCTTGTTAACTATTAGTTTCCCTTTGTCAACAACTCTCCGCCACAATTCAAAGAGTACTTACTGAGCACAATATTTTGAGAAGTATATATGCTATGTAAAGTAAGTGTACGCAGAAAATGTACATTTAATACCTTCTATTTAAAAAATGCTGCATTCAGGGAGCTCAATTTTCTTGTATTAAACATATTCAGGGCATAATACAAGTTCCCTTTGTTTACTGAAGAACTTTTAATCATGCACCACAGAAAAGGCTGAGAAGCAGCCAATAAACCAAAACATTAGAATGGCAAACCCATCTATTACAACCATGCTCTCCTTCAACAACCTGAACTACCACCACAACAGAACAAGCTGATTTACCACCCTAGAGGCAAAGTACAAGGTAATCACTCAACAGATAAGGAAAATCCAGGACTTCATTTTCTTTCCTCAGAAAGATCAGGAGAAAAATTCAATTCACCATTAAAACAGCAATTATTTTCAAATTTAAACCTCTTTCCTGGTTACAACATCGTTAATGCAAAGCATTTGCTTTGAAACCTGTGAGGACAAAAGGAAGTTTTCATCAGCAAACCCGATGCTCTGCGGAAGTGGTATCCCAGCATCTACGAAGAATCTGTACCACTTTTAATAGTGTGGACTGTTATTCATTAATTTTTTTTATCAAGCTTAACACGTTTATCAAAGGAAAAGAAGGATATAACTTCTGGTCTTTGTCACTACTTTTAATGATGTATCTCTATGACTCAGTAGACTTATGAATGGAATTAAACACCCTGATAGGGACCAGTGTTGACTAAAAGACATAATAAGACCAAAACAAATTTTCTAGGCTGCCCCTCATAACACTCTGTAGTACCCGTTTTCATGTTGAGCATTAAAGACAAGTTTTTCATACACTGCTACCTTGAACATTACAGAACCACCCAACACAATTCATACTCACGTAAGTAACGAAAATTTGACATAATTGAGAAACTAGGATCCAAACATAATGATATTCCTGCTTTCCAGGAACATGAACTCCTAAAGGCCAGCAAGACCTGGGGTCTTAATGGATCTGTCTGTGAGAAGAAGAGCAGGCGAAAAGCCTAGAAGACAGGACACATTCCAGAATATGAGCACAGTATGTCTTCCAGGTAAGGATGGCTCTGAGCACTAACATGTGAACACAGACCACATTTAAAACGTCAAACAAAAACCATACTATATGGTCCACCAAGAACACTGAGTTTATAGTGAAATTTATTGTTCTGCTTCCTAATACAATAAGCTACAAGGTACATACAGTATAAAACGAGAACATCCACAGAGCAAAGGTGATAAACATTCTGTGATGGTACAGTGGAGGTAACATCTGTCTAATCCTTCCACTTTATCCCACAAAAAGCAGCTAAAACTACTGACCCTCCCCCTCCCTCCCCTCCAAAAATATTAAAAAGTAAACTTTCTCTCTCACTTAGGAGTAGTGGGATTCAATGAGTTTTTTGAGGACACTGGTTATCTGCCAGTATCTCAAGAAAATTGCTGAAACTAAAGTAATAAAGAAAAACTGTGAAGGTGGGAGTGACATGACCCATGCAAGATGCTCATGACACCTTGGTTCAGTTCTCCGCAGAGCAAATGGCCTGTAAAGAAAGGAAAAGTTTGTTATGTCACATAAACCAGCAATTAACGTGGTCAGAATTAAGATATAATAAGCAACATCTGAACTCAACAGGACTAGTAGGCACACAGCTAAACTACTCTAAACGGAACCACAAGCTTCCTTGTAATAAGGCTGGGAGATCCGAGAGCTGATAACCCTTTCCCCTTCATCGCCAGGCGCTGTACAGAAGGGTAGGGTGCATGTTGACACAGGCACAGCTGACACCTACTACACAAAGTTCCAAATCAAATAACCTTGTCTGGGAGAACTCCAACAATGGGGTGAACTGCAGCCTCAACTCTTGAAAAACATCAAGGGTATAAACACTGATGGAACAATGGAAGATGAATATTTACCTTAAAGGCACAAAAATCCACTTAACCACTTTTTCATATATACTTGGTGCGGTTGAGGGCTCTCTCGGCAAGGTGACCACTTTCATCTGTTATCTTCTCCCAGTCGGTTTGTCCAACAACAAAACCGATGGCCCTTTTCCTGTCAGCATCTTTTTTTTCTTCTAGATCTGCCCATCGCACCTATGAAGAACATCCTATCAGTACAATAATCATCCAAGAAATCCTGATATGAGTCTAGGCTTTCCACTGCAAGTAAGAATACAAGAATACTAATTTCTAATAATTTTCCTTAGAACAGGTAAGTATTATTTTTTTTTCTGATAGGTCAAGAGGGAAATTATTTTTAATTGAATACACTAGGTGTTCCATGGAGTAGACAAAAGGTATAGATGATAACCTTTTTCCATTTCAGTGCTATAGTTCTGAGAGTTGAAGTGTAACTACTACAATTATTTCTCTGTTCAAAGCAACACTTTCTGCAGGAAGAATTATCCAAGACTCATTTACTGTTTTAATTTTCTTGGAAACCTGTCTTTCAATTGCACAATTGAAACATCTAGAAGATGACTATGAATCTACAGAAAGACAGCGTTAAAGAGCAAGTCAGCAATGAATAAATAAATGAAGGACAGTTTTCTTCTCTATCTTCCGTGATATATTTCTATTTAAATTTTCACACTATTTCTTTACACATATTATTTCCCCATCTTTACATCTCCTTATCTGCACTGCACCTCTTTGTGGTAATGCAGATCCCTTTAACTTATCCTGTTCAACATACACAGTGACATCCCCAAAACAAGACACCGATGGGAGGGAGAGCAACAGGAAGGAGGGAGGGAGAGATGCAATGAAGCAAGGCTCCAGGCCAGAAACTCAGCTGAAAAACACCATTGCAGGACAAGAAAAAACAGTAAGGGAAAGAGCTCTTCGTTGCATACTGATTAGCCTCATTCAGGCCCATATGTTACTGGGGAATGTAGCCTTATCAATTTTCCGCCAGCACCTCCCTATCCACAGTCTACCTGGACTTCCCCAGACATTTCTACTGATAAGCAATGTCAGTTTTCTTCCACCATCATCTCCTCTGCCAATGCCTTAAGTACCTCAATTTCTCTCAGACACGCTGTCCAGTACTATCAGTTTTCTATTTGACATTACAGAGCAAAACAATACCGAAACACCAATAGTTAATTCAAATTACTTCTAGTGGCAAAAGCTGGTCTTTCTATTTTGCAGAAAAAAAAAAAGCATTACCTCTTTCTACTACATCTTTCATCTCCCTCTATGATTTTCCCCCTTTTTTTACAATAGAATTTAAATATTGGCAGCACTTGGTATTCAGACCATGTCCTGCATAGTTAATCTGTATTATCTACAATTCCTAGCTCTGTTATAACTAATATGTTTACCTCTGGAAGACCCTACTTGCAAGCATAATTTCTTACAGAAGCTAAAAGAACAGCAAAATGAAAAGGGAGTCAATGAAATTCCCATATTCATAGACATTGAATTACTTGATATAAGCTCTCTTTCACAGAGGCCATTAAAGGGTTATATACAGACAGTAAGTCATTTGAAAATTTATTACCCTTTTCTTTCCAGGTTCAGAAGCACGTGTATCATAGTCATCTGGAAGCTGCAGATAATCTTCTATTCTGCTGGCAATTGCTTCCCAGTCACGTTTTCTTTTAGTGCCAGTCCGCAAACCGTCCAGCTTGTCTGAGAACAAACACAGAGCCTCAGCGTTAAGGGAGATTATTTTTCCTATTATTCACGCAAACAAGATGAGAGTGGAAAAGAACGAGCAGCAGAATTTGTACATCCAGCTTGTCTTGACAGGTGTAATGATGAGAGTTGAAATAAACTAAAGAAGACTCAACACAGTTTTCAAGTTTTATTGAACTTTCATGTTAACTGTGTGGCAATAACACTCAGTGTTGTTTTCTATATGAGGGAGAAAAAGTTTGCTCTTCTGGATCTACATGGAGTTTGCCCTTACAGGTACAATATAGCCAACAACAGCTAGGAACCACAGATCCATCTTTCTGTATTTGAACACAATACTAAAGCTGTAGCATTTTTCCCAAATCTGGGGATGAATACTGTGTCAAACATGGCACACATGCAGTTTCAGGGAACAAGTGGCAATTATATAACTTAATGCATCAAAGACAAGTTTTTGAGATATTGTTTCTGCTAAACAAAACGCTCCTTGGAAAGGCTGATCCTCCCCTTTTTCTCTCCCCATAAGGCAAACCACTTAAAAAGTCGTCCAGGACTGGGAGAAAAATATCTCAGAATCTTTTCTTTCATGGTGTAAGAGGTCAGTCATGAATATTTGAACAGTACATTTGTCCAAGAGTCCTCAATTTCTTCTTATTGAACCGATACATGAGGAGAAACAATTCCGTTCCTAGGTTCTAAAATTTTGTTCCATTTTAGACACTTATTCTCAGTAAAGAAAACAACACCTTCTTGAAAATATGTGGCAAACTGTCTTTGGAAAGGAGATGAAACATTCATTGTAAGATTATGAACAACAAAGCATGAAAAGGAAAACCGGCTCTACAAGTCAAAGGAAATTCTGTTACTTCTGTCGATGTAAACTACCAATTTATAAGCCAACAATTTAAGTATGAGTAGAAGGAACACTAAGCTTGGCAATTACATTCATTAAACCATTACCAGTGATGTCAGAAATACTGTTTCAGAAGTCACTGTTGTAATTAAATTCACCCACAAAAGGCCTCAGAAACAGACCAAATACAAGGCAGCATTATTTTCTGGATAGCAGAAGATGATGTTCAAAGGTATGTACTTAAAGAAACTCAATTCAGAGATGACTTTTTTTACTTAATATGGGAGAGAGAAGAGTAACAATGGAGATAACGTGAGGCAATGGTACTGTAGACATGCTAGTAAAATTTAAAGTCCATAAACTAATTAAGTTATTCCTCCCTCATACACCTCAAAACCTTTTAAAGACTCCACCTCTGCCCCATTTCCCTGGAACAGATACAGTACTTCTAATAAAACATTATAATTCCCCTGCTTCTTAAAATAGCTGACACTTAAGAAAAATGTTCAGAATATTTGTATCAGTTACATTATTTAGTTAAGGTTCTTCTTTTGCTCTAAGTTAAATCTCCCAAATTTGATGCTCGATCTCCACAGAAAGGTGACACTCCCTCTAGAAGACAAAATTGATTTATACAATATTCCTCTGTTACTCCAGTTACATTCAATCAGTGCAGATCATTTGTGGCATTAAGCATTTCCAGGAAAAATAACATTGAAAAGGAGATCAACAGACTCATTGAGGAGCATTTAGGAACATGAAGAAGTGAAAATGGAGGCGCTCTGTTGGCAAATACCTGTAGACACGGACATATTCCTGTTGGAAGGAAGCTATGATGCAAGCTCACCTCATTACCGATGTGAAAGTAAGTTAAGGCTCCCACTCCCTGCTGCCCACCAAACAACTGAAAACATTGCCAAGAAATGTGTAATGCTCAAACGTCAGTAGATAGCTCAGAAACTGTTCTCAATATGCAGTTCCCCTCTGTCCCTTTTTGTTACTGCTACACAGGATTTATTTTAAAAAGTTATGTCCTTCCATGTTTGAAGCTGGATTGCTTTTCCAGAGAGGTCTGCTTCCATCCATACTACTGCAGTTCAAGGTACGTGTGTCATGCAGCAGACACTACACAAATGTCAAAAACCTGCCACAAAGGATTATTTCAGAATATTCTTTTCTGAAAATGAGACAAGGTGTCATTTTGTAACACTGGTGCTTGTGATTATTTATGGCTGATGATTATTTAGTGTTAAACTACTGAACATCATTTTATCATTTCATATTTAAAAACAACAAAGAAGCATTTCTGAAAACCCACAAAACTTAAAAACTCACCTTTAGAATTTTTAAAGTAACATCTGAAAACAACTTATTTAACTAGCTCCTTCAAAAGCTAAATAAATCAATCAGTTAAATTTTGCCCTTCTTATACAAAAACCACAAAGTTTTAAGTAGAATCCCATTTTTCTAGAGTAAATTTTACAATGGTATCAAAGTTTCAGGTACACCAGAACTCATTTCTCCATTCCTGAAACTTTGTAGAACTTGCCACTAAGCCACACCTTGAAACAGAGCATTGCAATAAACACTCCAGTAAAATTTTAAAAATTAGAGTCCATTACTTTAAATTTTAATATAAGAACCTTTGTGCACTATGCACTGAGAAGACCCATGAAAAGACTTTCAGAATGAAATTGTGGCTGTGCACAGCATCTAAGGAAAGGATAAATCACACACATACTCAAGAGGAATGTAAGAATAAAGTAAATCTGTGCTAAAGCAAGAACTCTGGGTCATATGTTTGGCGATTGTCACAAGTCAGTGTTTGCAGCTAGAACTCAAACTTTTCAGACATTTTCTGAGGTTTATTACAATCAGCAAGATCTTACTGTGCTGTCCTGTAAACAATATTTACTCAGGAAGAAAACAAAAAAAGCAAAACAAGACTCAGAGCATTGTTTTTGGAGTCTGCACGTACGTCATTCTGCAAATGTGTGCCCTCTGGGACTAATGCAATAAACCTAATGGGCAGGCCAGCTCCCAGGAAATAACTCAGTTTTTTAGAGTAACTAATGCACACCACAGCTTACATGCCTTTCCAGAAATAATTCTAATTGATCATCTACAATGAAGGATTATTGTGAACTAAATATAGTAATTCTTACTCACAGACTGTAAGTGCTTGTAATGTGCACCTTAAGCTAAATGTTGACTGCCCTGGCAGAGTAATTTTCAAAGAAACTGCATTCTCTACATAGGAATGCCTCACTTTTTTAAAACCTAAGTTCTATCAGAATTTACTTTTAATCTATAGACCTACATATACATGAAACTGAATCTAGAGGGTAGTTATAAAAGTAAAATTGTGAATACAGATTTCACAGAAAGCCTGTCTCAGCACCTGGATCTGTGTCTTGCAGCATGCTAACATCCAGTTTGTTAATGAAGTTTGTCTGTTAAATGATTATTTCAACAGCCTTGCAAGTAACTTACTTCAGCATAAAAGTGACTCTGCTGCTTGCTCCCCATTTTACGTTTAAGTGGAGACCATATAAAGATAATGTTTTTTACATTACAGAGTTTTCATTGTGGAAGGAAACATAACACAGTTCTTAGCATGAACTTAAGAAATAATTTTACATTATTAAATAAATCATTGCTTATAACAAAAATGCAGACCAATCCTAGCTTAATTGTATAACTGCCTAGCTGTTTGGTATGCCAAAATCATTGAGTACGAGGTCCAGCTGCTTGTACTGCAGGTGCCACATCATCGATATAATCCACAACTATTTCTATTACTTAAAAGAGTGCACAGCAGGAGAAGAGATGGTGTAGCTAAGCCCTTAACAGCAAAAGGTGAAAGGCTGCTTTATGTAAACCAGACCTTCTACTGCTATTTCTATGGTGCAGTTGTGATTTTGGTTATTGGAAAGTTATGATGCACAAGGCTGTACCACACAAGAAGAAGCAAACCTCAAAATTAAAATTTATTAAGAAATGCTGTGTCCCATTTAGGTATTTGTGACTTCTGACGGACATGATACAAAAATAGCAGTTCTGAGCAGACAGCCTAGATAAAACATTCATTTAGAAGTTTGACTGTTCAGTAAAAAAAAAAAAAAAAACCCACAACAAAACTGATCATAATGACCAGAAACCCCTTTCCATGAATAATCCTTTCACCACAGCTGTGGTGCATGCATTTCTGCCTGAAAGTTGCTTTTGACTTTGACAGAATCCTAATATTGGCAGTAATGAGAACAAAAAAGGATAGCAGAAATCATGCTCTTGTGCTTTTGGAAAGTCCATTTTACATACTACCAAGAAGAATTCTATTGCTCTCCTGGAACTGCAAAGCAAAATGAACTTTAAACTTTTCAATGCCTAAGATGTTGAAAATATATACTGACATCTAATTATTCAGAACCAATTTCAAAGCATGCCACTACTTCATCCTCACAGATGTCAATTTTGAAAAGTGAGAAACAGGTTCAATACAGTTCAGCTATGAGACATGTCTCCAAGAATGCAAGAAGTTACTGATGACACTTAGGAAAAAAGGTATGCAATATGAAAAAGAGTACAGTGTGATGTAAGTTGACTCTGCTTATATAAAAATAATAAACACAGAAAGATGAAGAATATAAATACTGTTTTTTTCAAATTTGAAGACACAGTACTTTCCTTGAACAGATGGAACAACAATTAATGAGTATATACAACAGCGATGATTAGAACGCAGTAAAGTCTCCTGCCTCTGGCAGAAGATAGATTCCTGTTCTGTATAGATGCTTTTGCAGTTTCAGACACATGTATGAAATCAACTCATTTATTTGTCTTTGTAAGGAGGCACAGTAAAAACAAAAATTCAAGTCTTGCAAACATCATTAGATACCAACTATAAGAAACAGGAAAAAATAAATACCCACCTAGCTTTGCCTCAGAAGTGTCCATCTCCCATTTGCTTTTCGGAATGTAACCCTAAATCATACACAGAAAGAAGCTCGGAGGATTAGAGAGAGACACACATGCATATCACTTTTGAACTGGAAACAGCATTACAATGGGAGTTTAAGGTATTTCTTTTTGTAAGGCACAATTCTCATTATCAGATGGAGACCAATTACTCGGTATTTCAGAACTTCTGCATCCACTTCCCATTCAGTAATTTCAGTAGCCCTTGCAATCATTACAAGACTGCTGCCCTCTACAAACACAGAACTCCAGAATGAGTCTGACAGACAGCAAAGGCACTGTGTGCAGTTACTGTATTGTATTATTCCAGGTGGCAAACTCACTGCAACACAACTTTCAGGCATAAAGAATATTCAAAGCTTTACAAACACAAATGAAATAGTCACCATAAGTTTTTATGAACACATTCCCAGATTTAGTACACACAAGCTTCACTTACTCCTTTTGAAGGGACATACTAAATTCATGTATGAGTGGTTAATCCACAATCAAACGGGTTTTTTTTTTGTTTAAATAAGAGTATCTGCTGAGTCACTAGGATTTAAGTACTACTTTTCATTTTAAAATGGTACTCTTAGCGCAATGATTCTCATAAAACAACTTTGCCCTACAAATAATGTCACCATGTGTAATGAACTTGAGCCAGTTTATTCTTTGTAAATGAGCATAATGAAAATAAATTTGGCAAAAAGGTATTTATTTTAGTTAGCCTCTTGTTATATTTTCTTTTTATATTCTTTGACTAGTAAATTGTTACTAAGTAACCCTCATTTCAGCTGTTCAGTTTCAGTATAAGAGTACTTATGTTCCTCTGCAACCACATAAAAAAGCTCAAGGTAGTGAACGGAAGCTCTCCGAGAGAATTTAATTATTTTTTAGAATGTTTTTTAATAGAGAGGAAAAAGAACTACTCTAGAAGATTTCAGGAAGAAAACAAACAATTCACAAACCAGTTTTATTACACTAACTTCTTTCCTGCTTTATTTATAGGTTGCTTCCACTGTGGTAAAAATATATGCGTATTTGTTAGTACTATGTGTTACTAAATTTGTGTATTCCAGTAAATTCCAGAGAGCCACACTGCATTTGATTATATTCAGCCAGCACTGCTCTTAATAATCCTTGAATGAGCTTTTTTCTATCAAGCATATATCAGTGACTTGAAGTTATCCGATCTCTGGATTTTCTTGGTTTTAATCAAATCTGTAATTAATGCAAACCAAAACAGTTTGTGCTGCAATATTTCCTTGTAACAAACAAACTTCATGCATATATATATGTTTATACACTTAAACCAAGTTGCACTTTAAAGCTTGCTCAGAAAGTTTACACCACAGCTAAAAGCCTGCATTAAACAAACTGATGTGGGATACACTGGTGAGAACACTAAGTTAAATGTATCAATAATTCATACCATCAAGCACAGAAAAGCAGGAATTGTCTGAATGCTACAAACAATCCTATGGGAGTTGAAAGTAGCAAGAAGAGTGACTTTGATGGTGTGAAATGGCCTATTGTGTGCTGAATCTATAAAATATCCTGGTCGTCAAATAGGATAAGCAAAGATTCAGACTTTATCCTTTGATACAAGACAGTTGGATATTTCAAAGGTATCTGCCAGATGGCAGGAGCTTCAGACCTCCCTTTTCTCACAGGATTAAATGCAGCAAAATGAATTGCATAACCCTCATCAAATGCTCTCAAAAGGGCAAGAGATACCGAATACAGTGTCCTGTTCCACTTTCTGTCTGACACAATTCTCTGAGATTAGCCATCTGACTGAATTCAAGAGATTACCCACAGCAGATAATGCTCTTTTTCATATCTTGTGAATCTGAATAGGACACATTCTTATACGCAGATTACTTTTTGCTTTCTCTTTGTCTCAAAGAAAAGGCCTATTGTTATAAGTGCTGTACATTAGGACACTCCCCAGAACCCGTAACACACACACACACACACACAGATTTATGCACAGATGTCTTAAAAGCTAAAGACAACTTTCTCTTTTAACTATAGCTCATGGAAATGGGACTAGCAGCCATATTCTTGTAAACATGGATGCATCTTTGAAATGTTCTAACCACACTTTATGCAGTCTCATATTCTGCGCCAAAGAATAATTTAGTGAAGAAAATAAATCAGTCATGTTGAAAAAACCAGATGTTTATTAGAATCCACTTTTCCTAAGCTTTTTAAAATTCTGTTTCAACTGCTTTCTGACCTGCCACTCCTAACGAATAGTAAATTTCCATCAAGGAAAAACGATTTGCTCAACTCAGACATTTTTGGTTACTTCCTGTTTATTGAACTTTAACTGCTTGGTTGTGGGCACCAAGATTTGAGACATTCGACTCATCAAGCACGGACCAGCTGCAGCTCCAACACATACCAAGAAGTTACAGCAGGAAGCCTTTCGTAGCCTTTTGAATACATACCTAAAAAAGCCAGCCCTCAGGGCACTTCTGTAACCTTTATTTATCCAAGAGACCTAATGCCTCACCTTGGAAATACCACCTGACAAACAAAGTCAGTCAACCGTGGCAGAAAAAGCAGTCTTCATAACTGTTATCATATACTGAGACAGTTGAGGAGAGCTCTTTAGACACGTGAAAGGAAATAAGCTAAATTAATCTTTGCCCATTGCTCCCATCCTTCCACTTTGTGTAGTTCTTAGATTATCTGGAAGACAGCACTATTATGTACTGCAATTTAAAATGTCTCTATGAGGCATGTTACCATGCTCTACAGACAATACTGTTTGTAGCACATATTCACGTATCTAAGAAATAAATTAGGAAGAAATAATATGATTTATCATTAAAGTTCTCCTAGAAATGTTTAAGTAAAAACCTGCTAGAAACATGGGAGTTAAGATCGCACTGCTAAGAACAACAATGGGTTGGCATTTGTAAGACTGAGATTCTCTCTCAGACACATTAATGAACAATTTGTTAGGGATGGCTGATATGTCTCCTACCAGTTCACTTTCTTCTTCCTCTGCTGTGTCCTTCTTGACTTCCTCTTTCTGGTCTTCAATATTTGCATCAAAATCCTCCATCTCCACCTGTTCCAAAGCACATGCACAGACTTACAAGGCACTGTCTGGCTTTAAATGATTTTCTTTTGAACAGAGTAAATAGAGATGTCCAAATTCAAATAGAAAAGAAAGGATTCATCTTTGAAAGTATGATGATGCAATATATATGAATCCTGTGTCCATTCTGGCTTTTCTAAGAAGCACGTTCTCTTCTAGCAACAGAGTGACAAAAGAATGTTCTTTACAAATATTTTCTGGGGAAAAGCAAAAATTGTTCATTCCCTTCCTTCATATGCATTTCTTGTGTCACCACTATCTGTAACAGCATGATACTTCTCTTGCTTACCACACAATCACATTTCCAAACTTGCAATCTTAGAAAAAGTTCTTAAACTTGCCATTTATATATAGCTGGAATGGCTGTCTCTGCATAGAACATCTCTACTGAGTCTTTATCTTTTTTGTATTTTTAAATCACAGTAAAGAATAATAGTAACCACAGAGTTCAGCATAACAAAAAAGAAGAATGAAGACATAACATCTAACTCTGCTCATCTAATGCAATACCTTCTGTGCTCCACAGCTATACTGGGGACCCATGCATATACTCTGGAATACATAAAACTCTCCAAGTCTGTACAGCTCTTCATATAATTTGCAAAACCTCGTAAATCCAAATCTGCTGTTCTCTGAGCCTACTTTAGAGTGAAATCTTTTGCTGTCCTCTTAAAGATCACTATTTTCCAGTACAAAGAATTTGGAGATGTAATAATAACTTGCTAACATTGTGACAAACTGCAAAGACCCTCTGTCTACTTTGGCAGTTCATCAGTTTTTATGGCCATGTCAAGAGCTGTTCTGACAGCAACAAGTCATGGCTCATTCACAAAGATCACACAACCAGCACACTCATTTATGCCCAGAGCTCCTGACACAATGCCAAAGACGAATGCAACAATACAGTAAGCTGACACGCCAAACACGCATGTCGCTGCAAACTGCAAATGAAATGAAAAGGCAATTATAGCCTTCTGCTACATGTGATTTGTTTCTTCATTCTCTGCTAAACATCTGTATTTCTCAAAAGAAGGACTGAGTTCAAATTTGTTTATTTCCTTATCTTACTTTCTCCAACTACTTTCTCAAAATATGATCTAAATAATTCAGTAACCTGTAAAAAGTGCTGAGTTTCATCTAAGAGTGCAAAGATTCTCTTTAACCTCCTTAACTGGTATTCAACAGTTGCTAAGAGTAAAGTGACTTCAACTCTCGCTCAAAGATACCTAAGTCTGGGCTTCAAAAAGGTGATAAAAGGTAAACATGTACATTCACGTTTGGGGTAATTCATAACAATAACAAAACACACTTTCCTGACACAGCGATTCTGGCTTTCTAAAGTGCCTTCCGGTGATCACATCTTCGTCTGCTGTATATTTTCAGTAAGATATACTGTGAGTATATATATATATATATACATATCTTTGTCTGCTCTATATTTTCAGTAATATACTGTGAGAAACAGTAGTAGTTCCACATAATTCAGAGTTTTTGATGTTAATCATCTCAGCAGTTTAGGCTGCATGCTATAAGTCTGGTTCAGTTTCACTAACTTCTTTCATTCAACTGAATGAAACTTACCTAAATGTTTTATAGCCTAAATTGTGCTCTTTCTTACATAGTATGGTGCGTTGCCAAATCTCTGTGTAAAGACAAGTCACACTGACCTAACCTGCAGTTTTAACAAGTACAGAGATTCTCACCTCTTCGATAGCAGCATCCTGCAACAGAGAACGAATGTCCAGGCGCATCATGTGGCGTGGTGCTGCCTCCCAGTGATCAGACATCTAACAAAACACACACAAAAATGAAGCACCTCTAAAAATCTAACAGATTCATTGGAAAACCTTGTTTCTGATTGCTAACAAGATGTATCTGTACTTCAGTAATTTTAATCAATCCCATGAAATAACTACCAGTATTTCTTAGAGGAAAAGTGTAAGCATTATGTAGTCTATAGTTTTCAAACAACAGCGGGCCCAAAAGCACAATATGATTCCAGATGTAGATAGTTACCCTGCTGATATCCTTTAGCTTGCGCCCATGGATATTCCTCTTGGAACACGTCTGGTTATCTGCACTCATTTCAGCTAAGTAGACCTAGAAAGAAAAAGACAATATTAAATATTGCAAACCAAATTTTAGAGCTCTTTTTCTACGTTGTGACACACTCTGCAGTTGTACACTTTAAAAAAGGTAAATTTGCAACTGTAAACCACAGCATTTTTCCTGAATGTGGGAGACACATTCCAATCAAAAGGTTAGAAACATCAGCATATGGCTGTCAGCAAGTTCAAATGCTATTTAGGCTCCATTACCTCAAAGCCCTTTGTTTTTGCAGCACTCCAAAACTGTTCAAAGTGTCGCACTCTATCATTGATAGCATCAAGGATAATGAAGGGAAAGAAGCCGTCGTCCAAGGTCTTTTTAAAAGTTTTAAACATGCTGGTACGATAGGTCTCCTCCATATCAGCCTCATATTCGTACTCCATCACCTTTACCAAGGACAAAAGCATTAAGAAAGAGGACATCTATAAAATGGCTAATATTCAACACCTGAATGGCATGACCACAAAGTACACTGGGGTGGGAAAAACACCTTTCAGGTCAGCATTAAAGAATTTGCTCATACCACCCTAACATAACCCTAAGTTATAATTGGCTTGTTTTGAACAACAGCCCAGAGACCTCTGCACTCTTCCCAACCCACATTCTGGAATTCTGATTGTCAAAGTTTTTCCAGAATGTCTTGTTTCTTTGTCAAGAAAAGTAACAGAATTAAGACTACCTTCTTTTTAACTTTTTTCCCTGTATCTGGGTCTCTCTCCTCTTTCTCCACTTCAGTGATAAAGTAGTCATCCAGGCTGAGCACTCTTGGTGCAGGTCCTCCACATTCTACTTCCTTATCCTGGGAAGAAAGCAAAAAGAAAGGATATACCTTTGCTGTAAAAATTCCATTCTGCTACACTTCAAAATACTTCAAAATCTTCAAAATACTTTTGGTCAAGAGCAGTTCCCTGCTCAACAGTAAAAACAAGAAGAGAGTAGTATCCCTCCTGCTTGCTAATACTGGGGGAGATTCACATAGCACATGAAGACATGGACCATACAATAACAACTTGAATTCTAGGCAAACAGAAAGCAAACAGTAGAGGAAGCACATGTAAAAGACAAGCAGCACTATACAGTGAGTGCCTGTTTACATACCCTGATGAGTTTTGCTACATGTGTCTTTCCACTGCCAGGTAACCCTCTCATGATGATCACAATCTGAAACAAAATCACGTAAGCAGATATGATACTGTACTACATTTAACAGACTCTCTTTTGCAAATATTTTCTTCTGCAGAATTATGTGCTGTGGGCTCACACTTTTGCATCTCATCAAGCACTCACTGCCTGTTTTAGAAACCAGGCTGTGAGAAACGGTAGTAGTTCCACATAATTCAGAGTTTTTGATGTTAATCATCTCAGCAGTTTAGGCTGCATGCTATAAGTCTGGTTCAGTTTCACTAACTTCTTTCATTCAACTGAATGAAACTTACCTAAATGTTTTATAGCCTAAATTGTGCTCTTTCTTACATAGTATGGTGCGTTGCCAAATCTCTGTGTAAAGACAAGTTGTTCCACTGACACATCAAAAACCAAAGAGAAGACCTCAGAAGAGACCAAAACACCTTAATATTACACAATAATTTGCTCTGAGCATTCCAATGAAGCTCACCTCTCCTGTGGACTCCTATTAGCTGTGCTACAACACTCCAGGCATTTGCAAAGGAACTAAGTAATTTCCAGAGCTTCCTCAAATGTACACTGGTTCCCAACATATTACATCCACCAGCATTTTATCTGGATACAGACCTTGCTCAAACTGATTGTTGCTTCCAGAATGTACACTCACCCTCTCTGGTCTGCTATCCCGTCCTGGTGGCTTTAAAATATCATCTACATTTTTAGATTCTGGCTTCCTTTCTACTCGTGGAGCAGGTGGTGGCTGACGAGGCATTGATGGAGCAGAAATAGGAATCCTTTCCTCAGGGTAATTTCTACGATCACCTTCAAATTCCAGTGTTTGGACAGAAGAATTTTCTTAGTTCAGTAAAATAAAAAAATTAAGATGTTCTGAGCTGATTTAAACAGACCTTCATTATTTTAAGTTAAATTCACAGATATGTCCTCATAAATAATTAAAATTTCTAATCTTAAACCTATTGCAATCAAAGACAGTTTTTAGCAGAGTATATAACAGTTTCATTCATGATCTCAACACCATTGAAAAACAAAACTAAATGCCACCACCTAAAGAGATTTTCCTGAATTATATATTTTGAACAAACAAATACTGCAAATCAGTCTTCTACTAATTAATCTTCCACTCTGCAAGTCTATTATTTTTAATAATATTCTAGCATGACTTCAAGGTAGAGAAACTGTACCTCCAAACATGGAAGGCCCATGATCATATGCTGGACGATCTGTCTTTCGTTCATATGGTGGTCGTTCAAAACCACCCCGCCTGGAGGATGGATGGTCTTTCTTGTCACGGTAAGACTGAGTTCTTGAAGGTGTGGTAGGAAGAACCCTGCCAAAAAAGTATTTTGTGTATTTTTGTGAATTTGCACTGTGGATTCCAGAGTGAAAGGAACATGTACCTCACAGGCAAAATGGACAGCCTGATACACAATACAGCCTCAAGTGCATTGATCTCCATAGTGTTCCAAAATCACGCACCTATCATCTCGGGGATGCCGCTCCTTTTCAAATCTCTCTCGTTCATAGTCCACAGAACCTCGGTCTCTGTGCAATTCCCGCTCTCTCTTGAAATCCCGATGATCTGTGTTGGAATTACCTTGACGCTCAAAATAAGGCTCACGATCTCTTTCTCTATTGTAGCGACCTGGATGCTCTGAAGGGAGAAACCCGTAGAAATCTAAACTACTTCTTTGGAAAAAGAAGGCAACAGGTAAGAGTGCAAGAAAAGTATATGACATGCGAGCTAGGATGCACGTAATCAGACACTCTTTTTCAAACTGTACAACAGACGACCATACTGTGCAGTCCTACTTAAAGCTACAAAACTGAATTTTTAAAGTGGCTAGGTTATTGACTGCACTACTCCTCCTGAAAATATAAACTGTTATTCTTATGGACTTCTGAAGAAAATAAAGCGGTTGTAGCTTAAACAAGAGTTACTTAGTTTGAACAAGCTTTTAGCATCTTACAACTTTTCTTTAAGAGCTAACCAACTCTATGAAAGCTAGCCAAGCACCTCCTACCTTTTTGAAATGTTTGCCTGTCCGGCAGAGGCTCTGGACGAAGGGTTACCCTCTCTCCATATGGAATCTGTTCCACTTTACTCGTGGTTATATCTGGTAAAAAATAAACAAAAAAATCCTAAGGTTTTAAAAAACGCCTTGTATTTTCTTTCCTCTTAATGAAAAATAATCAGTCAATGGCATTAAAAGTGACTAGAACAAACTACCATAATTTCTTTTAATGGATAACGCCAAAAGAGCTTTACACAAATAAACAGCACCATGGTTTTTAAAGGCTGAAGTGGGTTTGTGTGCGTGTATGTAAACCACTCCATCTTAACAATGGGACTTCTGCCTTTTCAGGTGAGTTCAGGTAGCATGCAGTGTCAGAAAATTATAAACATTAAAATGCTTTGCAAGTTTTAATAACTCAAAGTTACTGTAATGTCAAGAATAGTAACTGAAAGTCTCACAACAATGACATTTTTTCTAACAGCTTTTAGTAAAACATCTGCCTAATGGAACAGATATGGCTTCCAGTCCTGTTATGGTACTTTAGAGAGAGAAAAAACAGTCTTTAAATGAATGACAATGCACAATTTAAGAACTTCTTTATGACATTATTTCACTCCTGTTAAAGGAAGGAGATCAATTCTATTAAAAACCAGTGCTGAATTTTAGCTTTAGTAAGTTCAGTAGTAAAAAGCACAGCTCTCCACTACTTACTTACATTTTAAACAACTGTATAGGGTGCATGCCCTTCAGAACCAGACTCTGTCTCCCCCTCTGGCTAGAGGGTACCTCACACCCATTATATAAATAATGCAAACACCAGCCACATGCTGTTTTAAATCACTAAATCACACCTAAGAACTCTAACCACCCAAAGTACCTTCTAGCCCAGTTACTTCCATACTCACCTACAAAGGGATTAAGGGAAAGTAACACTATCAACCTAAATACAGCGCATCATCTTGTATTTATTAGAAGCACCCATGACTATACACCATTCATGGAATATACACTGTTCACCAACAAGAAATAGCTCTTTCTAAAAGCATCAAGAAAAATACTAAACTCAGAGTCATAACAGGTTAAAGGTTAGAGACTCCTTATAACTGCACTGCTCAGCATTACATCATCAATGCACACAAGCCTACACATCAAGTGCAGAACACGCATACTTTGCATGGCACACTCCTTTAAAGAAAAAAAGGTCAGGAGGATTAATTAGCTCTTTGATACATATCAAATACACTGCAATACCCACCTCGCCCATGGCCATAATCCACCGTTTGCTGAATGATGGGTGCTTTAGGAACTGCTGGAATAACGGGAGAAAGGGACACTGGTACAGCTGATGGAATGGAGGTGTGGACGGCAGGTACTTTCACAGGTGAGGAGACAGGTGGAGGCATCATCGACTCCTGCTTACACAACTCGTACTCCATATTTGCACCTTTATCCTCATTTGTGTCCCACAGTCCATGGAAAGAGTCCTCATCCCAGCGTTCCTGTTCCACAGCAGAAGGTGATGGTTTTAAAGATTGACCATGACTTGGGGTTGTAGTTGGAGTAGAAACTGGAGCGTGTGGCCTTGTCATAGGTGTAGTAGGCCTTGCCAGTGGGGCACTTGGTCTTGTCACAGGGGTGGGCTGTCTGAACAACACGGGAGGCTTTATAATAACAGCAGGAGAAGGTTTAATAGCTTGGGCTTCTACTGGTGCCTCTGGAGATAGCTGAGAAGAGACCTAGATGCAGAAAGCACTTTTAATGTAGATCTGTAAACTAACCTTCTCTCATCCTCAGTATGTGCAATGGCAATTGGTAGTCAAATCACACATATTTGCTAGTACCTCCATCAAGGTGCTACAGTAGGAGGACTATTTTTAAAAATTGGTGACCTGATTTAATTTTGTGTTTCCTCATATGTGAAGGCTTAAACACTACTGATTTTCTTCAAAACAACCTTACCAATTTTAGCTCCAGTAGGCCTATCTCAGTTCAAAAGTGTCTACTGTTTATTCCCAAAGACTCCTGCTGTCTGCAAAGATTCCTGCTGTCTGTGTGAAGGCTGAAAATCTGAAAGTAGGGCAGCTTGTTGAGACGTAAAAGGATTGATAAGGCCAGTTTCTTTGTGGAAACCACTGGAAAAATTCAGAGGGCAGAAATACCTGGAAAAACCTTAATAAAATCAGTATCAGAAGAACATAAGAAATTGGAAGGTCTTGCCTAGTTGAAAACCAAACCAAACCAAATCCTTCATGAACCAAACAACCACAAGAAACCCCACACGTTACAAGACTTTTCAGCATCAGAGCAGATGTCAAGTTACAGGCAACCTTATTAGCAACATACAACAAAAATTGCAGGATGGTTGTAGATACAAAGCTGAGCTCTGTAATAACAACTCAAAGTCAGAGCAGAAATATCTGGAGGCAGGAATTCCAAGGAAGACAAAAGTTGATGAGTGAAGTACTCTGAGATACAAAACATCAAAAGAGCGTAAAGTAACTTCCTCAAGGCACCAACATACCTGCAGTTCTTGGTAGCAAATCAGTTGCATTATTTTACTTTACAGACACTGTAAACAAGGAAGAGGTCACCTAGGCAAAAAAAAAAACTTGCAGTGCCTCAATCACCACATAGCACTTCTCTGGGTGGAGGGACAAAAAAAGGCTGGTCTGACTAAACGTCAGACCCAGAAGACCTTATGGCTAAATGTATTAGTGCGAGTAACTTTGGGGTTAAGATGTAATGAAGAACACATCAACTCAGATATCTCCTCCAATACACATTTAACAAAACTGTTTACTCATTCTAGGAAGGATTTATAAACCTGACTTAGCATGACTGCAGAAGTTCAGTTGATTTCTGAATTATCAAAAACCCCAAATATAAGCATCTGAGAACAGTTCCCAGAACTGCACAGGAAATTAAGCAGTAGAGGAGTAGTTGTATCACAACAGGATGGAGGTACACAAACATGAGTTTCCATGCACTTCATGATATTCTAGAAGGTAATAAAAATTCCCAATAAAAACAGCAAACAGAAGGCTAATGCCCATGCTACATTGAAATATCTCAATTTCTGATGGACATATCCTCGAGCTTTTCCAACTTCAGAGTAGATAGCTCCTGAAGTAGGAAAAGCAGTGCAAATTGAAAGAACTTAAGCAAGGAAAAACAGGGTCTTCTTGTGAACCTTACATCCCCGTTTTGGGAGAGCTCACTTCTTTTTGCACATTGTCACACAGCAATCTAGACTGCTGAACCTCATGTGCAACCATCCCTGATGGGTCATACTCAGAACACATGGTGGACTTGCAGGTGTAGAAGAAGGGATTACAAGTGACCTCGCTCCTGATAAATCACAGTTGTACTAATTACCAAAGAAGAACAGACTTGCCTTAATGGGCTCTCACTAATAAAGATAAGTGTGATAGAAGGAATGGGTTGGCCGGTTAGGGAGAGCCTTGAGGAAGAGGACCTTGAGGAGGTAGAGGAGCCCTGTGGAAGAAGAAATGATCCAGAGAGACACAAAGAAGAACAAAACAAGGAAGAGAGCCGCTGCTGCAAAAGATCTGCTGTGAGGTCAGTGTGGGTCTGATAGAGCTGGAGCCTGCTGTTGGAGCCTGCAGCCATAGCTGAGCTAGGTAAAAGCCTGCAGTCAGAGGCAGCAAGGAAATACTTGCAGTCGAATTCCAGCAGGAAATAGCCAGCAGTCAGAGTCTGTCAGAGAAGCCAACAGCAGGAGTTTGCTGTCGTCAGAGTCAGGATGGCTAAACTGCAAAGAAGAATAAACTGGGACCATTTTCACATTGTTAAATGAGTCTGTGTCTTGGCTCATTTCCACCCCTAACCAGAGGTCTGCTGCAACAGACTGAGTAGAAAATGCTTCTGAAAATTTAAAGAAACTAAGAAGTTGTTTTGCCTCAACAGAAGATAGGATTACTGGGGACACATTCCACAGAGAAATTTGACCATCAGCGTGTAGAACTGGCTCAATATACATAAACAGTAATCACTACCAACATGTTATCAGTGTAAGATGAATTTACCTGAAAGGCACCCGGCCTTGTGCTTGTGTTTTGTGATCTTGGAGACTCTTGGGTGGAAATGTCAGGTTTGAACTCCTTCAACTTCTGTAGCTGTTCTTTTTGCTCCCTGCACATGCATCATAAGAAAGCGTTATCATAGTTTAAATGAAAAATTAAAGAAATCAATGCTCATGATGAGAACACATATTACACTAGCATCAGAGACAAAGCCAAAAGAAGAAAAGGACACAGCAGGCTTTACATGGGCAATGCAGTGACTCAGAAATCCCTGTTTCACATCCACCTAACCATGGAGGCATTTAGTGAATTAGCTGCATTCTTTTTAATTACACGTTTCCTGAGACATGTAGCTGTGCTTTGCCAGAACCACTCCATTTGAACAGTAAAGAGAAAAACTGGATTTTTGGCTTCTGCCAACACCTTCTGCAAGCAAGAAACCCCTTGGAAATGCATACCTAAGTGCTCTCAGTTACTTGTTCTGGTTCACATGGTAACAGGATTGAGGCCAACAAAGCACAAGAGATTCCAATATATAAAAGCCAAACAGTGAGTCTAACTTTTGCTTCTTTGGTTTATGTATCAAAATGCTATTTAATATACAACCAATACATAGTCTATAGAGCAGAGCTCAGGTTCAGCTGTGAGTACTACATCACTGGATTACAAAGTTCTAGTGAATATGATTTCCTTTCCCTTCAGTTTTTGTTAGCATTTTTTAATCTAGGTTTTCAATTGCTAATAACTCTGTGTATTGAAGCAGTTTCTAATGACAACTAAGAATGGGATCCCTCTGTAAGAAGACGTCACAGAAACCACCCTAACCAGTAATGCATCTGTTCAGTGTTCAGCAGAAGGGGAACTTGGCTCAAAGAAAAGAATCCTCAGTGTTTTATAAACACAAAAGAGTAAACTGTGCACTACACTAGATCACAAATACAGAACAGTCTGCAGCTGAGCCCATGCTGTGTTACACACAATAAAAGCAAAGCCAGATGAAGGCTTTAGTTTTGGAGATGAAAGCAGTTATGTACCACACTACTGGTATAACTCTTGGCTCAAAAAATCCCCATAAAAATTAATAAGCAATCTCCATAAAGTTGTTCCTACTGTTCAGACTTAAGTCATCTGCCTATAAGAACCTAATGAGAAATACCAGTGTAACTAATTTGAAGATTACCCTAATATTCTATTAAAAATCAGTATCATGTTTATATTTCCCCTTTTTACAGGCTTTGAAAGATGTATATGTAACTACTTTTTACATAAAACATTTTAGTGACTATGTTTAAATTATTTAAGCCCTAATAAATTTCTCTCGTAGTGATTCCCAAACTATGGTCCTTAGCCTAAGTGACTGACTTGCAGCCAGTCACAATAAACAGCAAAACATGCCAGGCAACTGAGGCAACAGGAAAGTCAGGAAGCTGAAAAGAATGTTACTGCAAACTTTTAACAAATACTACTTTATAACACAAATTTCACCGTTAATAACACCACTGAATTAATCTAATTGCAGTAAATTATTAAATTGTTCAGAATAAAAGTTATTCCTTTTAAAAAAATTATTTTTCTTGTATTTTGGCATGCTTCTAAGACCTTCTATATGGGACAGGTGCTCAGCAATCTTACAAATCTGAAAAGAAAACAGCCTTAAGAAAAGGCCAAAACATCTCTATCATAAAATGGATTGGGTTGGAAGGGACCTCAAAAATCATCTAGTTCCAGCCTTCCTTTCACTAGATTAGGTTGTTGAAAGTCTCATACAGCCCCATTTCTCCTATTACTAATTTCATAATAAACACTTATTAAAGCCTTAGGAAGTCTAGCAGCTGCTTTCTAAAAAAGAAATGTGGTCTTGATGAACTCATGAATTTATACCCTCCTAATTTTTGTATCACTCCTTTTATGCTGATTCCCAGAACTTAAGATCAACCAAATTTGACAAAATTGTTCACTGACAATACTGGGTTTCAAATGAGGAAACTCTGTAAAAAAAAACAAACAAATGAACAAAAACCCACCTATGTTTTAACTTAAAAGTGAGCAATATAAAAAAAAAAAAGTCTTAAGAACCACATTAATGTAGGTCTTGAGGGGTAAGTACTAAAGAGCAATTATCACTAAGCTCATCTGAGATCACCAAAGATACTGAAAAGCAATTATCCCCAAGCACCATATTCTCAGGGAAAGGGACAATCATCTATTTAAGAAAAAAAAGTCCATCTACAAAAACTGTGGTAAAGGTACTCCGAATAACTTGTTCCACATGAGCTCCTACAATCATGCTGTGGGTAAAAGAAATGAAGCCATTACTGAGTTGATTCAAATGGATCCCACAGAATGGGATTCTTATACAAAATCACAGAAGCAGGCAACTCACCGAAGCATTTTGAGCTCCTGGGCAGCCTTCAGAATTATCTCATGCTGTCTTTGGCTTAGGACCATCACTCCTCCCAAGGACTGGTCAGAGTCCAGGTTTGAATCTGCTCCCAGCATATCAGAGGAATGTGAAGGGGGAGGAAGGGACGAATCTGAGTGGTCATCCAAAGTCCGCAGTCTCTCTCCATCATCTGGATACCACCTATCCGACAACCGTTCCCTCTCCCAGTCAGTCCTTTCAGGAAGGTAGTCTTGCTTCTCCCGCCATGTGTCGTATCTCTCCGGATATTCTCGAATCCTGAGCTCCCCCCTGTCTCGGAGATCTCTGTCATAATGATCTCTGTTCCTATCGTCCCTCCACCTATCTTCACGATACCTGTCCAGAGGTGGAAGGGGTGGTAATGGTGGTAGAGGGGGGATATCCAGGTCACGATTCCCCATTTCTCTGTCATCCATAGGTCTCCTGTCCCAGTCTCTATCCCATTCTTTGTCTAAATCTTGATCATAAATATCTGAGGATCTTCCAGTTCTATCTAGATCTCTCTCTAGTTCCCTTTCTCTTGGCCTTTTCCAGTCATCCCACCATGAATCTCGTCTGTCGTGATCAGACGATAAAGGAGGTAGTGGTGGTAGGGGAGACAACGGAGGCAGTGAATGGTGGGATTGCAACCTGTCATCTCTGTCATACGCATGTACAGAATCATCCTGATAATCAGAGTTGTGATCTCTCCAGTATTGTTCTCTTTCCCACTCATCCAATTGCTCATGCTCCAAAGACGGGTCATCTTGACTATCTAAAGGAAATTCCTCCTGCATTGTATCATCTTCATGACCCCAAGAACCCCTGAATGTTTCATCTCGATGGTATGGAGGCAATTTGTCAGGGTCATCTCCTAGGTGAATGGGTTTACCCATATTGCCTGTTTCAGATCTTCCTGCTTCCCTCTCATGGCTATCTCCCCTTCTGATGGGACATCTCTCCCGGCTACCAGCCCGCCTGACCAGGTCCCTCTCCCGGCTACCTGCCCGCCTGATGGGGACCCTCTCCCGGCTACCTGCCCGCCTGACGGGGACCCTCTCCCGGCTACCTGCCCGCCGCATGGGCTCTCTTTCCCGGCTAGAGGCCCGTCTGACCGGGCCTCTCTCCCGGCTTCCTGCCCGTCCCCTATCCCAGCTGCCTGTCCGTCCAGGCGGCTCTCTGTCTCGGTTAGAGAATACCCTCTCATGGCTATCTGACCGTCCCAGCCCCCTGTCTCGGCTGCCTGACTGTCCATCTGGCATCCTCTCCCTGCTGCCTGACCGTCTATCCGGTATCCTCTCCCTGCTGCCTGCTCTCCTGAACGCTCCTCTGCCACGGATGGATGCCTGCCTAGCCTGCCCTCTGCCTCTGTACACATATCCCCTACCACGGCCATCGTCCATCCTGCCCACCCCCCAGCCATGGCCATCATCCATCCTGCCCATTCCCCAACCACCGTCCATCCTTCCCATTCCCCGGCCACCATCCATCCTTCCCATTCCTCGGCCACGGCCCATTCCCCAGCCACGGCCATCCCCCTGCCCTCTGCCACGGCCCCTTCCTCTGCCTCCTGGTCCCTTTCCTCTGTCTTCATGCATGAATGGCCCTTTTCCTCTGCTTTCTGGTCCAGGCAGGCCCTCAGTGCTATCTGAAGCAGTCAACTGGCCATCTGAAGAATCCAAATCCTGATTTCCTGTTGCAGGGGCTACTGCATCCTGGTTCTGAATAGGTGGGGTGGGTGCCTTGGACTCTTCTACTTGCTGGTTGGGATCATGTGAACTCCATGTCCACTTTTTAGGAGGGTCTGAACTAGGTTCTTTGACTTCAGGTTTGGATGGCTCCTGTTGAGTGTCCGTCAGGTCCTCATTTGGCTCAATGGGACCTGCACTCTGTGCGTCAGGAGCTGACTCAGTTCTGCTTACAGACTGCTGATCACCAGCTGTGTCTGTAAAAGGTTCTTTGCTTTCTGACTGTGAGTCTACCTGTGTCTGCTGTTGCTGCTGTCCCAAATGAGGCCTGGGCCCCATCCACCGTGGACCACTAGGTCGGGAACCGTGTCCATGTGATGCATTCGTTGTATAAAATTGTCCTGCTGGTCCTCGTGGGATAGAGCCCCATCTACTTGAAGACTGTCCATCTGTATTCTGTCGGTCAAAACGTGACCTGTATCCTTCTGAGCGCTGGGAGTCAAAACGAGGTCCTCTCTGTCTTGAGCCTTCAAATTTGTCATATCCTCTTCCTCGAGGTCCATCAAATCTACAGATGACACAATAGAAATTTTATTCAAATGAACATGTCATATGAAAGTCCTATAGATTAATTTCACACAAAACAGAGAACTCATGTCTAAAGTCAAGTTGCTTAGATGTTTGGGATTCACAGTTGTACATTACTGGATGAGTCAGGAAGGCCAAAGCATGGCTGAAGCTGCACTGTGCAAGGGATGCAAAGAGTTCCAAGAAGGGCTTCTAGAGGTATGTCAGCCAGAAAAGAAAGGTCAAAGAAAGTGCACCCCTTGGACAAACATGACTGGCAAACTGGTAAAAATGCATGAGGAAAAGACTCAGTACCTAACAACTTTTTTGCATTTGTCTTCACTGACAACCCTATGCCTCCTGAGTGGATGGATTGCAAAACAGGGACTAGGGGTGCAAAGGCACTTTCACAATAAGAGATCAGGTTCATGATGACCTGAAGAACCTGAATATATGTAAGTCTATGGGACCTGATGAGATACATCCCAGAATACTCAGGGAATTTGCTAAGTCACTTGCCAAGTCACTCTCCAAGTCACTCTCCATGGTAACTGGAAAACGGTGACAGGTGAAATCAGGTGGAGAAGGTGACTGGGAAAAGGAAAACACTGCACCTATTTTAAAAGAGGGTAGAAAGAAGGACTCTGGAAACTACTGACCTGTAAGTCTCACCTCTGTGCCTGGGAAGATCATCTCAGAAGCTATGTTAAGGCACGTGGAGGACAGGGAGGTCACTAGAGACAACCAGCACAGCTTCATCAAGGACAAGTTCTGCCTGACCAACCCAGTGGCCTTCTATGATGGACTGACTAATGGATAAAGGAAGGGCTATGGATGTCATCTGTCTGGACTTTTTAAAGACCTTTGACATGCACCTCCAAAACATCCTTCTTTCTAAACTGGAGAGAGATGGATTTGATGGATGGGGCTATTTGGTGGATGAGGAACTGGCAGGATGGTCACATCTAGAGGGTAGGGGACAATGGCTCAATGTCCAGAGGGAGATCAGTGACAAGTGGTGTCCCTCAGATGACTGGGCACTGTTTTTTATCTTCATCAATGACATAGACAGTAGCACTGAGTGCACCTTCAGCAAGTTTACAGAGGACTCAAGCTGAGTGGTGTGGGTGACATGCCTGATGGACAGGATGCCATCCAGAGGTGCCTAGAAAAGTTTGAGAAGTAGGCCCATGGGAACCTCATGTGGCCAAGTACAAGATCCTGCACCTGGGGCAGGGCAGCCCCTGGTCTCAATAGAGGCTGGGCGATGGTGGGATCGAGAGCAGCCCTGCCAAGAAGGACTTGGGGTTGCTGGTGGATGAAAATCTGGACATGAGCCAGAAATGCCTGCTCACAGCCCAGAAAGACAACCTGTGCCTATCATTGCATATCACTGAGCTCTAAACCAACACACATAAAAGACATGCACTAGCAATTCATGAAAACAGTCTGTTCAGAACTGTACATCCAACAAATCCCGAGGAACAGAAACACTTTTTTAAAACTACCAGGAGGTAGAAAATAATTAATTTATATAAAGCTCATGTACATTGCTAGCAATTCACAAATTATGATTCATGATCGATCACTTTGGAAGCAAAGAGAAGGGGAATAACCATGAAGACATTACTGTAAAGTCTAGCAGAGTATGCAAGGATAGAAACAACTGACAGAACACCACTGCCTTTTGATTCAGCAGTCATCACACCAACCCACCTCGAACTAGTGAGCAGATAGAACAGATGTTGTTTTTGCACCCTGGTATCATGTATTAAAGAAAAACATTCTAAAAACAAGATCTTGGATTAAATTATACAGCAGGTATAAAATCAGCAAAGACATATCAAATATTTACAGCAGCTTTCCTATTTTCAAAGAAGGAGCATTGTGTCTTTGAGAATGAAAAGGGGCAGCAACCCCAAGTACTTTACAAAAAAAAAAAAAAAAGGCAAACTACTCTAGATTATGCTCAGGTGAAAGACATCTATGTATCCTTGCTTTAAAAATATAAATACAGAAAGCATGGTGTACATACATTAAAAACAAAATCTCCACTGAACAAATACACACTTCCCACAACCTCAAAAAGATTTGAGAAAAAGATACATATTTCATTTCTTAATAAATCACTGAAAATCTTGTAGGCTGGAATATGTATAAACCAATAAAAACATTCTTACCTAGGGCCTCTAGGGCCTTCAAAACGCGCTGATCTGGGAGGATCTGGAAGCAATCCACCTGACCTCACCGGTTTATCCTGCACAATAGACGTGTGTGTCGAAGACACTGCAGAAGTGCCTTTCAGTTCCCCACACTGTTGTTCAGATGAGATATTTACAGTTTGTTTACTAAGATGACCTTGAGACTTTCCATGATCAGATGAGCCAAAGGATGAACCTACTTGAGAATGGTAAGGTGAATAGCTAGCTGAACTAGCTATTTTTGATGCATAGGTACCAGGGGTGGGAAGGAGAGCTGGCCTTGGTGTTTCAGTAGCTTGACTGCTTTGAGAACTGGACCCTGAAGGGACAGAGGAATTGGATAACTGAGAAACAGAAGAGAGAGGCGGGGGGACCAGTGGAGGTGTAGTTGAAGGTAAAGTTGGAGGCATAATAGGAATGCCACCTTGACCAGTTTGGGAATATGGAATAAACGGAGGTGGCAGTGAAACATTTGCAGGATATTGATTCTTCAGATTTTGGAGCGACGTCACTTTTTCCTGCAGATGTGACTGAGTAACCTTCATCTGTTCATCCCATGCTTTCCACTGCTTCTCATACTCTTGAAGCTGGTCTTTGTGAGGGTAGGTTTGAAGCTGATGCTGCCACTGCTGGTTCATTGATCGCTCCCAGTCTTTATGAAGCTGCTGGAACTGTTTTTGCTGTGCCTCATAATGTCGCAGCTGCATGTCCACTGACATTGTCTGCAATGAGATGACAAGAATAGGTTCAAAATACCTTTGATAGTCAGTTACTCTCAGAGCCATGTATTTCAGTATCACTTGTAACATCACAATTTCTGATGACTTGGCCTCAAGCCTGAGGAAGAACCACACCGAAACAAAAGCAAACACCAACAGTGACATCTAAAGACATTGTGAAAATTTATATATATTATGACTGTATACTATATCTATGTACAGAAGACTTCAACAGGACAGCTGAAGAAACCTATAATCTGTATAAACTGTATTATTACTACATCCTAACAATGGCTAAAGCTCAAATCAATCTTCACATATACATTATGTGACTATTTCTCAAGGTTTCAGTTTTTGCTATTAACCTGCTCAGAATTGCCTCAGCAGTCTGCAATTATTTTTCTTTAAGCCTTTGCCAGATCTTATTTGCACAAATGAAGCTTCTTTCAAGTTCTGTCTTTCATCACGTGAGGATATCAGGCTTGATTTTGCTTGAGATTTTTAAGGTTTACCCAGAAAGATTAAAAAAAAAATCCAAACTCAGACACCCCAACCTACAAAGAAATGCTTAATGTACGAACTCTTCCAACCCAATAAGAGTTGATTCAACTCTCTAATACAATAATCAACTTCTACTTAAAAGCTTAAAGGTTACAATACTGGTTTCAACTGACTACATGAGTTAAAAGTAATGTGAGATACTGATTTTTAAAATTACATTTATTGTCTATTTTTGGCATCTACAGTTATCATTGTACATTTTTATTTTTGTAAAAAAGAGCAGCTTCCAACTTATTCTGTGCAATCATCTAATTACTTGACCTTTCTGAACTGTTTCTCCAGTGGCAAAACATTCAAAGCTGAATAAATTCAATATAGTGTTCAGCTTTGCTCCTGTATCACCTAGGTACATCCAAAAAAATGTTACAAGAAGTGTAAAATATTGTATTTCTCATCCTACTGAAGCGTCACCACCATCTGTCAATGCTTTTTTCATTCTGAAGTTGAGTGACAGTAGGGAAAATGGATATAAACTTCTACCCAAGCAGAAAAAGTTGCCAGACAAATGAACAAACCATTACAAATTATTCAACTATGTATTTTTCAGCAGACTACGAGTGCTGGGTCACCCAGGATGTATATCAAACACCACCTCTTTAGTGTCTCACCTCTAAGTGTGGAGGCTGTTGCATGATCTGTTGATACTGCTGTACTATCTGTTGCAGCTGAGCGTGCTTCTGCATTATTCTCTGATACTGGAACCCAACCCGCTGATGGGGGTGCTGCTGCCATTGAGCTGCTGCTGCTTGCAATTGCTGCAATCTCAAATCCTCCTCAGGGTCATCAGGAGGTTCAATATTGAGCTACAGAAAAAGGCAAATACTATAAACAAAGGAAAGTTGCTTCTGTCAGAAAAAAAAATACACTGGGTCACTACACATTTTACAGGAACTTTGTCACTGTTCCGTACTTTATCACTCTATTTCAGTGTTCCAGCCATAGACAGCTTCTGGAAAGCTGATTTTAATCCCACCTTTTCTGAATGTGAACACATTTTTCCTTAATGTGAACAGTCTAATCTAAAGGTTAGGCTGATGGTCATTAGGTTATTCATACATAAAGAAACTACCTACAGGAAAGAGATTAATGAAAATCTGTTATCTGTCGCTCACAGCAAATTAATGAGAAACAGTGGTTTTTCATGATAAAGTAACTCCAAGTGCATTATTTCCACCACTTTGTAGGAACCTGCATGCTGTAAGTTAAAGTGGAGCACATACTGCTCAAATATCATGACCTCCATCTATTATACAGTAACTGTTATTGACCAAGATGATGAAAAAAACCTCTGTGCAAAATTCTTGGCTTTCAGACCAATTCTAATGCACACAGAGAAAGGGAGCCAGAATTCACAAAGTGCCAGGGAGAAATTAAGAAATAGTGTCTTAAACATAGCATTCCTCAACTGAGTACCTACCTGGTTTTGCACTCTGATATCATGAGGTGATCTCACAGACAAAGATGTCAACGTTGTGGATGGTGTGGGGGAGTCAGCTCAGACTTGCTTGGTGCAAGTGTGGGTGAATATGCAATTTTATATACAAGAAGTCTATTTTCTAACTGGTGCAGCTTTAGCAAATGTTTTTTAAAGACTGCTTCACAACATTTAGTTATTGTTACAAAGTATAGAAGAGAATTTGATGGCATTAATTTTCCTGGGGTTTTGGCTCATCTAGGATACAAATGGAGTGACATCACTTTACAAAGCCTACCTGAGTTTCAGTGGATGTAAGAGAAGACTCATCTTCTTTGGATGCTGGAGGCAGGGATTCATTAAGAGGAGGAGGTTCAGACTGCTGAGTTGAAGCACTCATTTTCTCTTCTTCAGAGTCCTTCACTACTGGACTTTTCATCTGCTGCTGTCCCTGAGCATGGGCTTTTGCCCTTTGCTGCAGGCTAAGCAGGTGCTGCTGGTACCAGTATTGCTGCTGTTCCTGTAATAGACATAGATTTTCTAAGTTTCACAAGAAAAACGATAGAAAATCATTAATGACAGCCACTAGAATCATACTGTAGAAAAGTTTTTAAAACAGTTTTGAGGCAAAACTCACTTCTTCAGCAACAGTACTGCAATGGATGTCAGAAAATTAAATCAAAAGCCATAAACCATTATGAGATGTACAAAACCCACAACAGAATTTACTTTTTACACCCAACAAGCTTACTGTTCTATAACTATAGCAAACAATACTAGCAAAAATCTGGAGCACAGGCAATAATAAACAAAATTACTACAGACATGCTATAAGTACCATGTCTATTGGTTTTAGAGCTTTTTATAACTAAGAACTACAGTAAAGAGAAAAAGAAGGAAATGTACAGAAGAGATGAAGAGGATGAACAGAGAACACAGACATCAAGTAGACTGAAAATGGCAGCTGAGAAATTGTGGTGAAGATGTTTGAACAAAGCCATGGAAAGTAAAAGACCAGTAAATAGTGAAGATTATGTATCATCTAATTCTCATTAATCCTGATTCATTCAACAGCTGAAGAGGGAAGCAGATATGGTTGCACCCCAAAAAATGATCCATTTAAGAAATAACAAGCCTTCAGTTTTAAATATTTCAAGGTAGAATTAAGAGTGCTCAAGGCAGATGACAGAAGCTTCAAAAAATAAGCTGCCACTAACAAAGAACAAAAGACTAGAGATAAGTATCTCAGCACTTAAGTAATGTCTTAAAGAGGCCTGAATAAGAATCAACAGTTCTGTATCTCTCCCAACATGAGAAATGTCAGGCACCAAATTAATAGAAAAACATCTGTGGGAGGCTACTCTTCACCTAACACGATCTTGTGCCACCAGAGTCCCTACTAGAGACCTCTTCAAGGGCTAAAATTTTGTGGACTCAAGACATAGCTCAGAAAAATCTACATATTTTGAAAATAAATACACCATTTACAGCTAAGGCAGCTCCTGTATCCTAGGAAAGTACTGCTATACCCTTGATTTTTAAGTTGTTAAACTTAACATCTGCTTTTAGTCACTGTCAAAGATAGAATAATAAAATACTCTAATTTTTGGTCTAACCTAGTGCAACCATTCTTGTGCTCTCAATTCCATTAACTCTGAGAATCTGTGACTGATCTCCATCCTTCATACCTTTTGTTTTTCCTTTCCATCCAAGCATGCGCAGTTAAGAAAAAACACCTATATAAAGCCCAGTCAGAAACAGAAAAGATTCCAAATAATGCAGGCATTTTAAAACAAAAGTGTGACAACATCGAAGCAGCAAGTGCTGTCTGATGAGACTTCTCAAAAGTGAATCACTGCCCATCCTAAACAGGTTTAGAAGAAGAGTAACTTTCTGCTGGAAACCTACCTCATGCTCAGATCAGAAATTATGTTTTCTGTAGGTAGGAAACACAAATATGGAGCTGTATTTTTAGAAAAATACTTTTGTAACTTGAAAATGAGGTCAATGAAATGAGAGACTATGAGCTTCACAGACTTTAAATTAATCATGCAATTATTCCTGCCACGAATCTTTTAAACAAGACTGTCTCAGAAGAGTTCCATAGTTTTGAGCGGAAGATACGCATTCACACTGCAGAACAGACTGTCAGAAACTCCAACAACATGCTGAAGTAAGTGCAACTCAAGGGAGGAGCATACTTTCCCAGCTATACAGAACCTGATTCAATTATCCATCTCAAAAGGCACTCACTATAAGGTGATCTGCCATCATGTGCTAGATGCTATGATGGGTGAACACATGTTCTGCCACAAAATTCTTGTCTCCACAGATCCATTTTTTCCTCCTCATTCCACCAAGTGGACATGGGGCGAGAACTGATATTATGACATGGGCATTCCAGAGCTATGGTAATATAATTACCTATTATTTTCAGCAGATGAGTCAGTGACATCTATTACTGCGCTATCTGGAAAGTATAAGAAGACCAGAAAGTAGATCCTTACAGCTTAGTCGTAAGAAAACAGAAGTGCTAGTGTAGAAAATTTTTCATAATGAAAAATTCAGTTACTGAGTGCTTACCTCCTCACAATGACTTGTCATTCAATTGAACTTGTCACCTTTCAAGTCCAATTATAATCCTTAAGCCCACAGAAAACATGAGCATCAACAAAGGCCTCTTCCCATCTCTGGCTGACCAAGAGATGAGGCCTGTTGAATTTTACAGGAACACTGAAACCAGCACTATCAACTCCTGGCCTCAGGACATACCACCAAACACGTTAATGTGAGGTCCACACCAAAAGACTACTCCAAAGCTAATTGTAGTTATGGTATTTTGTTAAAAATCCTTTCCTGGGATTTTTCCCCTCCTGAGGAGCTGAGAGCCTCAGGAAAGAAATGTAAACAATAACTATCTGCTGCTGTGGAATGCAACAGGTGCATCTTCAATTGGTCCATGTCGATTGTTTTCAATTGATGACCAATCTCAGGCACCTGTGCCAAGGCTGTGAGCAGTCACAGGATTTTTGTTATGCATTCTGTTCTATTTCTGCTCTTTGTAGCCTTCTGATCTTTCTTTTCTCTCTGTTCTTTAATATAGTTTTTATGTAGTGTTTTAATATAACATATAATAAATCAGCCTTCTGAAATGGAGTCAAGCCTTGTGTCTCCACACACAGAGAGTTCATCTCAACAGCTAATATAGGTGACCCTAGGCCATAACATAATACCTATTGTGGGGGACACTATATCCTTTCCAGGTGAAAATTGCAAAATAATGGTTTAGTACCCTCTACAAAACAAAAGGGCTGTTTAAAGAGCAGAGCAGTCTGCTAAATGGTGAGGTGGTAAAGCTGAGGTAGCTTTAACAGATGTAGATAAATGCGTATTTATGGGTAGAGAGGTACCCATGCATCCTTGGAGTAGGAAGAGCATTGCCAGCAGGTTGAGAGAGGTGATCCTGCCCCTCAGCCCTGGTGAGGCCACACCTGAGTGTTGTGTCCAGTTCTGGGCTCCTCAGTACAAGAGAGACTTGAACTCCTGGAACAAGTCCAGTGGAGGGCGATGAAAATGTCAGTGGAGTGGAGCATCTCTCTGTAGTAAGAACAGGCTGAGGGAGCTGGGCCTGCTGAGCCATGAGAAGACAACTGAGAGGGGACCTCGTCAACGTGCACAAGTATCTGAAGGGAGGGTGCCAAGAGGAAGGATCCAGGCTTTTCTTAGTAGTGCCAAGGAACAAGGAAAGGGGCAACAGGCAGAAACTGATGCACTGAAGTTCCACCTGAATATGAGAAAGAACTTTTTTACCAGGCAGGTGACTGAGCACTGTAACAGATTGCCCAGAGAGACTGTGGAGTCACTCTCACTGAAGATATTCAATAACTGTTTGGAATACACAACTCTGTGCCATGTGCTATGGGATGACCCTGCTTGAGCAGGGAGGTTGAACCAGATGACCCCCTGTGCTCCCTTCCAACCTTACCCAGTCTGTGATACGGTAAACAAATAGCAGCACACATTACCCGAGTATCAGACGGAACACTAAGGAAATACCACAGTTATTTTAACTTCATTTGACAAGAATAGAGCAATTTAATCCAACTAAATACCCACAGAAGAAACTACACTAAACTGACGATACTGTCAAGGGAAAGAACAGTATTTTAGACTGGAAAGAAAAATAATAAAACACCAACTCATGGCAAATTGTGTAATATCTTCTGAGTTAAGAGAAAAACACTGATATATTTGTCTGCAGCCCCTGCTACTGTGGGATGAGAAACAGAAATAATTGCTTTCAATTGCCAGTTTAAACAACGGCTTAATAGGATACTACAAATGACAAACTACACTGTTTCTTCACTTGGCTTTTCAGATTACTACAAGGCATGAAAGCATCACTACACTTAGCTTTTCCCATTCCTTATAGTGTAAAAACTTGTTACTCCAAATCCTGTCTCATTTTACAGCCTAAGATAGCCAAAATCGTATCAATCTGTTATAACAAAGTTATGACCAGGAAAATATCATATTCCTTTTCGATTAACATTGACCTGTGAATGAGGGCAAGCAAACTACTCAAGATAGAAGCTGTTTGTATAAACACTCATAAACCAGACAACATAAACTTCAGCAGTATTCTGCTGCTTCCATGTGTGCACCACAATAAAGCATTATTTGCAAGTCTTATGGAGATATTTTATCAATATTTTATCATTGAGTTCAATAACTTAAGAAGTCAACAAGCTGACTCAATACCAAATTAACACCAGTTTCTACACGTGATTTTTTGAGGTTTTGGTTTTGTCATTAAAAAAATGAAGTCTTGTTGTTATCACTGTAAGAGATCAATTAGTACTGTCCAAATCCAGCATAAAATTAAGCGAGATTGTCCTGGTTTAGGGCAAGTTTGGGAGATAACCCCCAAAGGGGCTTCTCTACAAAAGCAGATTCAATTGCCCCTCCCGCCGTGTAAAACTTATTGTTCAGTATAAACAGAACAAGACGATTGGCGATAAAAGCATCATATAGTCAACCCAGGACAGAGATGAACTGAAAGCACTACTTTGCCAGGCAGTAATTATTTATATGGCACAAACGTAAAAACGGCATGCCCAGCAATCAGCAAATTTAAAGTGTCAGTGACTTCAATATGACACAACACGATTTTTGCAAACCTAGCTTCAAATCAGAACCCTAAGATCAATTTACCAAAAAACCAGATTGAAATAAAGAAATTTCCAAGTATGCAGTTCAATTTTGTCCTTGCAGGTGGATCCTAATAAGATAACTCTAAACCCTTGCAAAAGCCTCAGTGAATCTGCCTGACCCATGTACATGGCTGAGGGCCCCAACATGTGCCTCGCTGTGCATGAACCTCAAGCCTGGATTCTCCCTGACAATGCAGATGAATAGTCCCATCAAGTTCACTGGAACTGGTCTCATTTAGGAAGTGAAGCACACAAACATCTTGCAGCATATTGGCCCAAGTGTACACATAAAAATCACACAACTGTAACATTTTTCACTTCAAGGCATTTCAGAACATTTCCCTCCAATGCCCTATCCAATTTTATACTGGAAAATCAAGCACATGTAGCACAAAGAAGAGGGCAAGTACGTACTGCAACAGAAACATTTCTGCAGCTTTAACTGTGTGTTGTAAGATTAAAATAGTCACAATTCTACACTGATCAGGCAGACAACTGCAACTCAACCCATTAAAAACAAGTGACATTGCAATGTGCAACAAGGAAACACTGCTGCATCTCACAACTGGCCGGACAAAGCCAACAGAGGTTAGGGGCGGGTCACCCACATGCTGTACTTTGGAATACATTCTCCAGAGACCAACGCACGCTCAAGAAAATTAAAGTCAGCCAGGATTCACATTTTTCCCTAAACATTTTTTCTCGAGAAATGATAATTTATTACATCCCTACCAATCAGCCTTTACGAAGGCTCCCCTGAGCTGTGCCATTGCCACACTTCCACGGACTGCGTCCAAATTCTTTCAATATTATGCAAATATAGTGTGTTTATTAACTGCCCTTACTCGGGGACCTTTGCAACACTCGGTACACAGCGGCTCATCGCCACCGCTGCCCTGGCGACTCCCCGCTGCCAGCCGGGCGGCCTTACCTGGGGAGTCATGGTGGAGGGGTCCGGCTGCTCCGTGCCACCGCCCTCCTTGGCGGCACCTTGCGGGGCCTCCGGCTGGGCAGCGGCGGGCGGGGGCAAGGACGCCTGGGGCGGGGGGAAATGAGCCTGCGACGGCTTGACCGGGGGAGGGATGGAGGGGGCCAGAGCGGGCTGGGAGGGAGAGGCCTGGGAGGAGAGCAGGTAGGGCTGGGGATGTGCCATGTAGCCCTGGGCAGGAGGCGGCAGGTAGGGCTGGGAGGCGGTGGCCGGCGGGGGCTCCAGGTAGGAGGGCGGCGGCTCGGAAAAGGAGGGGGGCGGCTGGGAGGGCTGCGCCCGGGGCAGNNTGGGCGGCGGCAGGTACGGCTGGGCGGGGGGCAGGTAGGGCTGGGCGCCGGCCTGCGGGGACTGCGGCGGCGAGGACAGCTCCATGTCCATGGGCACCGGCTCGGCGGGCATCGGCTCGCCCCAGTCGCCGTGCCCGCCCGGCGGCTCCTGCCCGTCGCGGTCCCGGGCCGCGGGGGGCGGCTTGCGAGGCGGTGGCTCACGGTGGGCGTACTGCTTCTGGTAGCTGCGGACCGGCGGCGGCACCGGTGGCACCGGCGGCTGCTGCTGCCAGTCGGTGAAGGAGCCGGGCAGCGGCGGCGGCGGCAGCCCCGGCGGGGGCGGGCCCGGCGGCGGCGGGGGACCCAGGAGTACGGACTGCAGCTGCTTCTGGTGCATCTGCTGGAGCTGCTGCAGCTGGGCCAGGTGCTGCTCCTGCAGGCTCAGGAACCCCGAGGAACCGGCGGGCGGCGGCGCGGCGGCGGGGGGCGCGGGCCCCGGCGGCGGGTAGCTGGGAAGCGGCATCGGCGGAACAGCGGGAGGCGGCACGCTGGGGGGAGGGATGGGCAGCGGCGGGGGCGGGGGGAGGGGGGGGGGGGGCGGCGGGTAGTGCCCGGCCGCCCCGTACAAGCCCCAGGCCGGGTACATGGCGGAGCGCGGAGCGGACACAGGCCGCGGCGGCGGGCGGCGCACGGCGCCTGCGCGGGAAGGCCCCACCCCCGCCGGGCAGTCGAGCGTGAGCGCCGCGCCAGAGCGCCCCGCTGGGCGGGGGACAGCGTCGCCTAGCGGACAGCTGCCTGCAGCGCGGGCCGAGGCGGGAGGCGAGCCCGGAGCGACAGACAGACAATCGGGACGGGACAGGAGACGGGACGGGGGCTGGCGATGCACGGGAGCCACTGCGGGCCCGGCGCCGGGACTTCCGCTGTGTGTAGGGTGCCGCAGGCCCTCCGCAAGCTAGGCTGTGTATAGCGGGCCCCGTGGCGTCCCTCGGACGGCGGCGTCGGTGCCCTCGGTTACCCACGCTGAAGCATTGAGTTAAACATAAAAATATGTTCTGTAGGCACTTAGCAGTGACTGATGCCCAGTGCTGAACTCCTGTGGCAGGGCAGAGGCGCGTGTGAGTGAATTCCAGCAGCGGGGCAGTGCGGCGGGCTCAGCCGGGCAGCAGCACGGCCGGCTGCCTGCGCTCGGCCTCCTCCGCCAGCACAGCGAGCCCGAGCAACTCCCGTCACGTTCACCCCGCAGCTCATGCCTGCTGAATCACGGATCCCTGGCCACCGGAGAAAGGCAGGTGTGGAGGAAAGGTCCTAGGACTTTTCAGTCAGGAGAAATATCAAGAAAATCACATTGCTAGGTAGAGAAGAAGCTTTATCCTCTCTGGTGAAAAGGCTAAATTTTATGTTCATTTGTTGCTAAATTTCAGGAAATCCACAGAGGAGATACACCATGAATCGGCAAGAAAATATTTGACTAAATTCAACTGAGATGCAAATCTTTAAGAAAACTATCTGAATACTTATAGAACTGCCTTTTCTATTCTTTAGTATCTCTTCTTTTTATTTAGAGGTGATTATTTATCCTTTTCTATTTTAGGACGGTCTATTTAGATTTCTCTTGCAGTGAATATGACTTTCAGATAGCATTTGTATTTTTAGCCCACATCTACTGTTCATTATCCTGTACTTAGCATTTATGTACCTGAGTTCTATGGGCCAGTTTACTCACTAAGCTTTTGAAACCCTGTCCTTCCAATACAGGGAATTCCTGTTGCAAACATCCTTTAATTTATCCTCCTGATCTATTCACTCTCCGTGAGTTCTCTTGTGATCAGTTTACTAACAGTTATTTCATGCTGTTTTTGCTGTTTGTTGTGGTCACTCAATATTGTCAAGAGACTTGTTACTTCCCTTATGAGAGAATACGCATACCTAAACACTTTCAGGGCAATTGCTTTCCAGCCTACATTGTGGAAGCCAAAATCTAACTTCCAAATAACTTGACAGATGCTTTTCCAATATTCAAATCTGGTTTGGTCTGCAGTACAGTTGACTCCCACCAGACAAGGTACACTGACTTTAATACACAATCTTACCAAAAAAGCAACCCTGTTAAGTTCAGATTATGCCCTCTGATTCTTCTATTCAGAATATGTTCTTTTTATTCTTTTATTCTGCTCAGTCTGTAATATTAATGGGTGCCATCATGTTGGTTTGGGTTATTTTTTGTAAATAGCTCATGTTCTTCCTGCTTCCAAACACTATTATACACATTTAGTTACCCCTCAATTAACCAGTGTTCCATCTTGGATCAGCAGCTTAAATTTCTTCATCGGGTAAGGCTGTAGTAATCTGGTGTAGTAATCTTTCTGGTGGCTCCAGAAAGGAGTAGAAATTATTTTCTACCATTCTTTGCATATATTCAGATTTTCTTTATGTGGTGCTCCCATACGTTCTCTGTCTTCAGAAGCTATGGAAACCGGCTACAGCAGGAGATGGGAAGTTAGCAGGGAGGCTGAATTCTCTAATTACTAAGAAACACTGCAAGCATCTGATATATAAGTCCTGTGCAGGTTTAAACCAACTGCCAGAGTTGAGTCAGGAAGGAACTTCTCTTCTGGTTTGGACTGACGGAGTTCTGCATTTGTGGGAACATCAAAATATTCCAGTTTACCAAACTCTTTCCTGTGACAATGATCTTTCCTCCTCTGACATACTGTGAATTGGATCAGACACTGGGGTGCCATGGTGTGCGTGGAGTGATCATTTTCCTCTGAACCAAGTGTTTGGTACACAGGCTGTCTGGCATTGCAGGAGAAGCACCTGATCATTCAGGTGGTCCTCTCCTGTCCTGTTTATCTTCTGATCAGACTCTTCGAGTTAATAGCCAAGTTTTTTGTCTTAGCAATTATACTCAACTAATAAAAATGTCCTGATGGGTTTGCTCGCTGCCAATACTTTCTTCTGCTCATCCTCCAACCCTCCTAACACATCTTTATCAATTGCCTCATACCTATTCCAGATTCTTCCTCCTTTTACTAAAACAAGGCAGAGTAAAAAGAATAAAAGACTTCAGTAAATGAGCACATTTAGCTTGATGCCTACCCACTGTTCATGCTAAATACATATAGTTTCATGAAGTCCCTGCAAAAGGCATTCTGCTGGCAGGTATATGTTCCCCAAATTCATCAGGCTGCTGTGCCTTTGACCTCTTCTGTGCCAGAAAGACTATTTTCAAATGTTACCCTAAGTGTCCATTCCTTTCTTCTTTCTTCCCCAGTCTCCTTCCACTTAGGTTAATTCAAGTGAAGTTATTTGCACTGGAACAATTCTAGTTAACTATTGACTCAAATAAGTCTTTCGACTTCTTCATAATTTTTCAGAACTATTCTGAAAAGCAAGTTACAGAGATCTGATCCTACAACTGTTTCTCAGTCCTCACTTGACTAAACATGGGCTTCAAATGTTCATGACAATACTTGATCATTAGCTTAAAGAAATATGGATTGGATTGAGATAACAAAACTAAGGATATTATTTTTGAAATCTATGTATTATATACTAACTATAAAATCTCTCCATTGCTGGCTACTTTCTTCCTGGCTAGAGGTGGAGAAAATTAACTTTAATTGTGATAGCCTGGAAGGGGCTAAATTTTCAAAGAGTCAGTATGCTGTTATTTCAGGGATGTTTAATGGGTGAGCCTGCAACAAGCAAAGAGATAGCACGAGAGGAAGGTCTGATGTGTTCCCAAAGTTTCCTGCAGTATCTGTAGAGGTATGGTGGTGGCAAGGAAGTTACCAGGATGTCAGAGCATTTCCCAAAGACAGGAAATTATCTTTACTGCATGCTGTCCAGCATACAGACAGCCAAGTTCAGCTATTATAGAATCATTAAGGTTGGAAGAGACCTCCAAGGTCATTGAGTCTGACCATTAACACAGCACTGCCAAATCCACCACTAAACCAAGTCTCTAAGCACCCCATCCACATTTTAACACTTCCAGGCCCAGTGATTCTACCACTTCCCTAGGCAGCCTGCTCCAATGCTTGACCAACTTTTCAGTCAAGCATTTTTTCCCAATATCCAATCTTCCTATGGCACAACTTGAGGCCACTTCCTCTTATCCTGTCACCTGTTATCTGGGAGAAGAGACTGATGCCCACCTGGCTACAACCTCCTTTCTGGTAGTTGTAGGGAGTCTTAAGGTCTCGAGCTTTCTTTTCTCCAGACTAAATGCCAGCTCTCTCAGTTGCTTCTCATCAGACTTGTGCTCCAGGCCCTTCACCAGCTCCAATACCCTTCTCTGGACATGCTCCAGCACCTCAGTGTCCTGTCTTGTACTGAGGGACCCAGAACTAAACACAGGACTCAAAGTGCAGCCTCACCAGCACCAACAGGGGGAGGATCACGTCCCTAGTCCTGCTGGCCACACTGTTTCTGATACAGGCAAGGATGCTGTTGGCCTTTGTGGCCACCTCTGCAGCCAAACCAGTGTAAGGTTTGGGATAGACAGCTTTATCCTTAAGGATAAAGTTCTTAAGCTTTGGAAATTTTCTTAATTACACCAAGAATATAAATTTTCAGTCTTCTCCTCTACTACTGATCCAGCATTTTGGCCAGGAAGTGTGCTTTGGCATGTTGGCTCCTGGTGACCTTCTCTGCACCACACAGCAGAGAGCATAAGAGCAAATTATATTGCTAAAAATGAAGGAATAATGGAGGAGATATGAGAATGCCCAGTTATGGCTTTGAAATACTTTCCCCCCTACATTTCTTCATGTGGTTTAATAATTTCTTTTCCTTCCCTCCCTGACCACTTCCTTCCCTGCAGCAAATTCTGCAGGTCTCTGGAAGACTCTTTATCTGCAACCATTGTGCTTATTCCTCCACGACTGTGCTCCCAGCCCAAATTAACACTTTTGTCCATTAGACACTTTCCTTCTTGTCCCTGGTATGTAACAAAAGTGATAAGGCTTTGAGGTGCATAGGACCCAAAGAAACAGGAGTGAAAGACTTGTCCCAACCCAACCCTGCGCTGCACCACTCTAAATGTAAGCAAAAGGACTGGGCTGCCAGCTAATCAAGTACAGGAAGAGCAGTCTGAGAGGACACTTAAACTTCATTCACTGTGCAGCTGAATAAAAGCCTATCAATTCTGAATGAAAATCTAGACTGCTTTTCTAGAGAAAGCCATCAGCTGGTGCAGATCTGATGTCTTTTGTGCAGAATGCAGGTTCTGATTTGACTGACCAGGTGTGAGGTAGCTTCCCAAAGGAATACCTGACCCAGGTATACTCCAGTGCAGCAGTAAGAAACTTTTAAAATCTCTTGTGGTTTAATTCTTAGTAAGAGTTGCATGAGCAGTATTTCATTCAGAATGCTGAAATCACGTTTTCCAATGGTCCCGATGCAGAGCTAGGCACATTCTTGGTCCTGCTGCCCTCTGTTTCCCATATGCTTCTCCCAGCTGTAGGTAATCAGACCAAGGCAGAGGATGGATTAAGAAAACCAGATTCTTCAAAATAGCTTTTTCTTATAAAAACAAGGTTAAGAAGTCAGTTTGGTGCTGTCCAGAGTCCTATGAGCAGAGTTCCAACAAAAGAAGAAAGAAGGAGGGTAGAATCAGAAGGATCCTTATCCTGGCTCACAGTCCGGGCATTGATGGCTTGACTGGACAGGTTAGAATCGGGGAGCTCCATAATCATCTGGCATCCTCTCAATATTGTACCTGAGAAAGAAGGAAAACTTATGAAGACAACCTATTCTACTTGCTCCCGTTCCCACTGTGGTGGTGCATCTACTCCCTCTTCCTCCTCAGGGCTGCACTACCATCTCAGGGATTCCTGCTAGGCTTTGGCTTTTGTGTAATGAGTTAGGTGGTGAAGCATCCCTTGAGCATACCAGGAAGCCTTGCATGACTAAGGTGAGAACAGCGCTGACTGCACTGGGAACTCCTGTTGTTGATCTATGGAGAAGGATGAGATTGCCAGTCATCCTCTGACAATCCTATCTAAGTCGTGGCCTGAGTGGAATGGTACCAATGTTACCAGAGTTTTGGAAACTCTAGTAGTTACCAATCTGGATTATGGCCAAGATGTAAAATTTATGACTACTAAAAGCAATCATTTTGTGACCCTATAAGCAGTGGTCTTAAGTGAGGCCCTTAGAGCTTTCCTGGACTGGCTGTTGACCAAGTATGGGACTAAGATTGGATGCACCTGGACTCCATCAGGAGTTTGGAAAGCAAGGTGATCCTTACTGAGCGTCATGACTCAATGGGAGGGTCGTCCTTTGTGCTTCTGGTCTCCATGCACAACATTCTAAAGTGATTTTAAGTCTATTTTCCTTTATATGTTTCATCCATGTAGTAATAGAATGAACCTTGCCATTAAACTCTGTTAAAGTCGCACTGCTACAATCTTATATTAAAAGCTGCTTTTGCTAGTGTACCCTTGACAGTGATTCTTCAAGTGGACTAAAGCATTCATTTGTGATACCCATGCAGCAACAGGCTTACAGGTAAACTGAATAGTCAATTGTTGCATTTCTATCTGCAGCTCAGATCCCCAGGAAGAAAAATATTACTTCTGAAAGTAAAAAGTCTTCATACGGTTGCTGTTATTCTTCACCTTAAACTCAGTAATCAGACATCTCAAAAACTCACCATCTCCAGAGAAGGAAAAAACCCTGCAGTTTTGTAAGATCTGACTTAGGATTTAAGAGCAGATCACCACAAAAAATAAATCTTTAGACATTTAACTTATAATTCATAGAATCATTTAGATTGGAAAAGACCTCCAAGATCACTGAGTCCAGCCTTTGACTGAATATCAGCTTGAGAATTAGACCATGGCACTAAGTGCCATGTACAGTTATTTCCTGAACACCCCCAGGGATGGTGACTCCATCGCCACCCTTGGCAGCCTTTTCCAAAAGTTCATGGCCACAGTGAATAAGGAGAAAAGGTGTTTTGAGAGAAAAATCTTTTGAGCCACATTGTAATTATAGATCAGTTAAAACTTTACATGTCTATAGCAATCAAGCTCCTACTTTCCATCATGCTGCACTAGTATCCTTTCGAGTTGGTTTGGTTTTTACTTAAGAAGCAAATTCAGTCTCTTAGCTGAGGGTACACAAAGCTACCAAATAGAATATGGAACAGGAATGGTTCTTTTAATGCATTTGCCTGGTAGTCCTGCTGCTACTGGTAAGCAAAACTATCTGTGGAAACACTAGCCTTAAGGAAACCACTTTTTCAGGTAAAGACAAGTGAACATGTAGACTGCAATGAAAATGGGTCTGTGACCAGTCTCTTCCCAGCAGTAGCTGTACTTCAACTTCTTTGCAAACACCAGGCCCTTTACTGCAGCCTGCACTGTAGACAATGAAGGAGAGAAGTGCATGGTGACAGAGTCCCTGTCAGACAAGGACTGCACTGGGCAGGATTCCATCCTGTCAGGGGGTCCTTACCTGTGCCTGGAAATATACATTATGGGCACTCCAGGGATTTTTCGTATTCTCCGCTTGAGCTCTTTATCCACTGTGGCCACAATGTAACATTTGTGCTGCAAAAAACCAGAAGGCAAGTCAGGTTCAACACCAGCGAACCCCAGAAAGGAGTCATGGCTGACCAAACGCTCCTATTCAGTGAGCTCACTGAACACAAGGAGGCTGAGAGTCCTTAGCAAGGCATTACCAGCACTTCTACAGAATTCCACAGAAGACTAATAACATCCTTCTGCCCATCAAAACAGACTCAAGAAATCTCTGAAACTCTGTCCAGCCTTTCAAGCTGACAGCTTTCCCATCCTAAGTGCTTCTTGATGCTGTCCTATACAACAAGAATGCTCAGGGAATATAATACCTTGCATCAAATAAAGTTGTGTTAGAACTGAAAATGCCCCTTGGTGAGATTTTATAGTTACTCTGTGGGAAATTTAAGTCAGTCAGTAATTACGAGGGTTCAGGAATTTTTAGTATGTTAGCACGGTACAGAAAATGTCAGAAGGGGAATACCTGAGTGACCCTCTGCACCAAGCAGTCATCGGCGTAGGTTCCTTTGTGCATACATGGCAAGCGTTCAAACCGAGGGTCCTTGGCAATTCTGTGGGGACATAAAAAGCAGCATCACAGCAACCAGACCAGAGAGTACAGTAACACAGTATGGAGGAACAAGAACAGCCCTTTCTGTGATATACAGAACATTGTTCTCAAAACAAGGAATGAAGGGATCGAGTAAATGGTAGACAAAGGTCAACCAAAATGACCTGCAAAAAAAAAAAAAAAAAATGCAACTTGTCTAGTTATTATAGGTTAAGTATTTCTTAGTACCAAGTTCAGGACCCTGCCACAACCTAACCACCCTCTAGTGCAGGAACACCTGTCATAGCAAGTGTTTTTCATTTATTTATATCAAAGCATTAAGTTCTAGAAAGAGAGAAGAACACCCTGCACCTACCTTAATGCCACACGGTACTTCTGTCCCAGCTTCTCGATTTCACCCATTACACAATCTGTGATACACGGAATACCTAAATGCAAAAAGCAAAGCAGTATTTATTCCCAGACCCCTACATACTGCCCACATGCCCCAGAAACATCATGGAACTCTATAATGTATTACTTACAGTGACAACTGATAATGTTACAAGGTGATGAAATGTAGAGCCACCAAGTTTAACCATGCCATGGTAATTTTAAGTTATTAGTACCCTACCTTTGCTGAGATTAGCATTCTAAAACTGTTACTTGACTGAAACCAGAGACATGGCCAGGGTTACCACAGCTCCATGATTATAGCACATATTCTTTTTGCAAGATTTCTGTTATTCTCAGCCAGTGGCATGAGGCTGACAAAGCACATTATGAGCACACTGGCATTGTGTGGTCTGAAAAAGCTGTGAGTGGTGCAGAAACTCACACTTGGCATAGAGACAGTCCATCATCGACTGCACTAGGTCCAGTTTGGCCTTGATGGAGAAGTTGATGAAGTTAGTGTCAACCAGGATGTGGTAAGGGGGACCCAGCTGTGTATTATATTGGAAGAACAAGCAAGAGGGATGCTGGGGGCTGCCAGGAAGACAAAGAATTCAAAACAGTTAATTGCATTTAACATTACGCCCAATCCTACAACTTGCACAGAATGAAAGAAGGCTAATGAGCAGAAAAACCCATCAGGCCTCCTGCTGCCTCCCAAGCACAATCCTTCCGTTTGAGGCACCACTTCTTCTGACAGTATCGCTCAGAAACACCCTCAGTTCCAGCCTGCAGCGTGGCCGGCCCTCCCTCCTTCCTCCTCTCCCTCCCCAGTGCCTCGGCAGCACTTACACCTCTCGCTCTTTGATGGCACTCGGGTCCTCCTTCTTCTTCACGGGGGCTTTTGCGCGATCCTTCTCTTTACTGCAAAGAAACACAGGCACTACGGTGGTACAGCGATAAGGAAGAGCTACCGGCGGCGGAGAGACCTGGGCCGGGACCTCCTCCCGCCCCTCCCGCCCGGGACACGAGGACGCTCCAGGGCCCCGCGCGGGCCCAGCCGCGGGCCCAGCCGCAGCCGCAGCCGCAGCCGCACTCACAGGCGCTCATCCCGGAGGCTGATCATGCGCTTCATGACCGCGTACTTCCGCGCCTTCTTCTGCTTCCCCTGCAAGGACACGGACACACAGCCGCGATGAGCTAAGGAGAGCCCCGATCCCAGCCGGACCGCCCGCACCCCGGCCGGCTCCCGGCCCACCATGCTGATCCCGCCGGTCCCGGGCCGCCACTGCCGCGTCCCTGGTGCGTCACTGGGCCCGCCCCGGAGCGCGTCATCTCCGGCTGCCGGCGCCGGGCAGCGGCAGCGCGGGGCGGCCACAGCGGCTGGCGGCCGTCGTCGGGGAGCACGGTAACAGCGGTAGCGCGTCTCCTTCCCTCCCCGCCGCCTCGGGTCCCGGCGCGGGGAACGGGCTCCCGGGGCGAGGGAGCTGCAGCCGCAGCCCTGCCGCCCCGCCGTGACGGGCGTCCCGCGGGGTGACGGCCCCGCTGCCGGCCCGGAGCACCCGCGGTCGGCCTGGAACGGCCGCGGCGGGGTCCCCGCGCGGGCGGCGCGGGATGGCTCCGGGAGGGCCGCGGCGGGGCCGGGGCTCCCGGCGAGCGGGAAGGGCCGGCTCTGCCTGCCCGGCGGCGGCCTCCGGCTCTTCACTTCGGCTTAGCCTCGCGTGTGCGGGCGCTGCGGGGTATCGGGGCACGTCGGTGGGTGGGGGCGAGCTGGCGCCTGTGCAAGGGCCGTGGAGATTGGTGGCCCCGCCGAGCCCACCGCTGCTGCGGGCTGGAGCGGGAACCGCAGCACACCAACCGCCCTCCTGCCCCTCTTCTCTGTTTAGCAGAGCCGGGACGGTACGGGGGTCTTCAGCCCACTCACCTGAGCTTGCTGGAATGTTTTGGGTTTTTTGAGAGTTAATGTAGTAGTGGTTTTGTTACGTTCTAGCTCATGAACTTCCTAATGAAAAGCAGTGGGTTGTCATTATCTTTAGATCTTACCTATATTTTTGATCAGAAGTCCTAGCGAACGAGCATAATTTTAGCTGTACTTTATGCAGCCATAATGATGTAGTGTGCAAAATGTCTTTTCTGCATATGAATGGAAATGTTCTCCAAGTTCTTGGACTGGTCTGGGGCACTTGGTTTCTTGTGCCCTGCGCAGGGGAGGGAGAAAGAAAGGCCTTTCTCATGCAAGTTTCTGGGATTAGTGAGATCTTAGTAGCTGTTGGTATCTTCCAAATACAACCGGTTTTATCTGGTGTGTTGGTCAGAAAAAGCAGCCAATGAGGAATCACTCAGGATTTTTTTCTCTCACGAGTGGTGACCTCTGTAGAACTGTGACTGATGCTCTGACAATGAGAAAGAAAATGAGACTGGAAGAAAAACTGTGTTTATTAGGAAAACCACAGGGTTTTCCAGGGCTTTCCACTTAAGTGATCATACCTAGCTTAACTGTTGGTTGAGGAAATGCAGTTGGTAGAGCTCACATGATGCTGTTCAAATGACCCTCAGTGGTTTGGGAAGAGAAATAATTGAAGAAGGGGGTGATCTGCTTTCCCCACTGATGTGCAGCATGGCAAGTGGCTGAATTTTGTCCTGGCTCAGGAAGCAGATTTGGTGTCAGGATGAGGCTGGCTTGCTGTGTTTGAGGAGGACAGGAGGAGCTGACTGCACTGGGGGTGGTTCATTTGCAATGAAAAGGCCTTAGACTTAAGCAGTTGACAGAAGTCTCTTTTTTGTTTGTTTGTTTTCCTGTTGCCACTGTTTTATATAGCTTGTATGTAAATACTTATGACAAATCCCATGCCTAATAAGAGAATGACTGTTTTGTGTAGACACTGACCATTGATGCAGCTTTTGTCCTTGACAGCTGATACTGGATCCTGCTGAGTGCTTTTTGTGCTGACTTTTCAGTTTTCTGTGAATGTATTGTAAAGTTAGGTTCTCACGGGCATTCCTGTTTGTTGGTTTGTGCCTGCTTTCCTTAGTGTAAGAAAATACTGTTTCTTTCACTAGAGAATAGTCATCTCTGCGTGGCAGGAGACAGACACGCCATTTGTGGTAGGCATTTGTGCGCATGGATTGAGAGAGATTCTGCACAGAGATAAATGTTTCTCTTATATTGATTGGATGAGGTAGTATTAACCTGCAAAAGAGCTTTAAAACAAAATTAAAGGTTTGTTGTTAAGAGAAGAATGGCAATTTATCAGTGCACCAAATAAAATCAAGAGGCACAGCAGATTTCCTAGGAGCTCAGTACATCTGTTGTGTATATCGTGCCCTAGCTGGTTTTGTAGCTGTAGCCACATGAGTGTGCCATTACTGTGTCACAATTCTTTTTTTGTGTGTTACACTTGTGCTTCCTTCTGGAGCTCTGCACTGTGTTCCTCTGGCTTCAGCAGGGCAGTAACGCAAACTAAATGTATTCCCGTTACTGAACTTCCTTTCCTTGCTGACTTGAGGAAGCAATGGCACTAATGCAGTTTGTTTTATGATTCCATGCTATCTACCCTGATTATGCCAGTACCTCTCCTTGAGGCAAAGGAAGGTGAAGCTTTCAAATCCCTATTTTCCCTGCAGGTGGCAGGAGACCATCACTTGCTCTGTCCTTGGTTCAAGATTACTAAGACCTCTTGGATAATTCAGCACCTTTTTTTCCAGCCTAGCTATGATGGCACCATATATTGCTGCTTTTCAGAATTTATTTCCCAGGTTGTTCCCCAGCAGCTCTTAGCACAGATACTGTTTTAATTCACATCTGCATTCTGTTGAGTGGCAGTGTATCTTGGATACCACCTACTTGCAGCTAGACTCTTCACCTCGATGTGTTCCGGCTGCAAGAGCACCCTTAAAGCTGCAGGCAGTGAGTAAGCTAGAAGGAAGTCGATTGTGTAATAGCCACTTCATCTCTGGTGACCACCCGGGTTGGTGTCTTGTTTACCACATCATGTAGGAATAATAAAATGACAAGTTGCTATGCTGATTAATTAACATAACTGAGGCAACTGATGTGTCCAGCAAGTTCAAAAATTCTGCAAACCAGATTGAGAGATTCAGGTTCCAATAGACTTAAAAAAACTGTGAAGTTTAAATGATGGATCTTTCTATGCTTGCGAGAGAGGCTGTGTGACCTGTGGTGTGCCTCACAGAAGGGAAGGAGTTGTGGAGTGAAGCAGAAATAGCTTGAGTAGATGAACCCACAGAGACAGCTTTGTGGGCTTTTTGTGGTGTGAAGAGGCTGGTTCTGGAAGATGCTGGAGGGAGATCTTGTAGATTGCTAATATTGATAAGTTTCTGTGAAATTCCCCAGCTGTGTGGGGAGCAGTCACACACCTTCCACAGACTGGCCAAGCTGGAGCAGAGTTTCAACCAGACATTGTAGCACATCTTGGATATGTACCATGAAATAACTAAAATACCAAGGAAATTGCTAGGTCTGTGGTCCTTAACACACAGAAATTTATGAGTTTAGAAAGCTGATGCTTTACCTAGGAGGAGAATGAGAATTTATGCCCTGGAGACTGCAACACTCTTGCAGTGAGGAAAAGTAGAGGAAGGAGGAAAATAGATGAGTGGGTGGGACTTTCCTTGAGATGTGGGTGAGGAAAAGATGTGAAAATCTGGCTCTTTCTGCAGTGCAACGAAAAAGCTCAGCACAGGTTTACTGGTTGATTTTCATGTGCATTAGAAAGGTTAGTAGAAGTGTGTAAAGGCAGCCAGATCTGTATGATTATTGGCATGGAGGGAAATAGCAGCCATCTGAAGAGGAAGGCAGAGGAGGGGGAGCTAAGGAAGAAGTGACAGCTGAGGTGGTGTCATGGCAGGTGGCAGGAGCACATCACATCCCCAGAAGAGGTGACTATCTTAACAGACAGCTGCCTTGGTGAGCCTGGCTCTGTTTTTTCCATTCTCACTCCTTTAGGTAATCTGTGCTCTGAATGAGCAGATACTGATTGTGTAGGCTCTGTGGTGTTTCTTCTGGCATGTGTCCTAGTTTTTGTGGGCTGCGTCAATCCTTGCTGTTAAATTTTAATTTTTTTATCTCAATCCTGACAGTAAACTGTAATTTAGTGAATAGTGCTGCTGAAGCTGAAATCCCTTATAAGGATCTCAGTTTCCTGAATACCTAAAACAACATTCCTGAATACCAAACCCAAAATCTAGTTTGCTTTGTGGTTCAAGAATTCTGAAAAACTTCCTTTTCTTTTATTTTGAGGCTTGACTACAAATAGCCCTTTAAATCTGGGCAAAATCGGTTTGAGAATAATATTTAGCATTTTGTTGGGTATGAAGACTTGAAGGGCTACCTGATGATAGAATGGTTTGGCTTGGAAGAGACCTTAAAGATTGTTTGATTCCAACTCCCCTGACATGGGCAGGGATTCCTTCCACTAGAGCAGGTTGTTCAAAGCCCCATGCAACTTGGTTGTGAACTCTTCCAAGGATGAGGCAGCCACAACTTCTCTGGGCAGCCTGATCTTGTTCTTCACTACTCATATTGAAGAATTTCTTCTATATCTAATTTCTTTCTTATATCTAATCTAAACCTACCCTCTTTCAGTTTGAAGTTCTTCCCTTTGTCCTGTCACTACATGCTCTTGTAAAAAATCCTTCTGATCTTCTAGTACAGTGGGCAGGTCTTCATTTTCTCAGTCCCTTCTGTGACTTGGTTGGTGTGGCTGGAGCAGTTGCTCGTGAAGACTGAGGGGGAAAAGTTACTGAGTACTTCAGCCTTCTCATTGTCCTGGGTAACCAGGTCCTCTGTTTCCTTTTGGAGAGGGTACATGTTTTCCCTAGTCTTTCTTTATCACTAATGTACCTATAGAAAGTTTTCATGGCACCCTTGATATCACTGGCAAGGTTTAGTTGTATCAGGGCTTTAGCTCTTCTAACCTGATCCTTGGCTGCTGAGACAATCTCTCTGTATTCCTCCTAGGCTATCAGCTCTTGCTTCCATCTCCATGAAACCTGTGGAGGCAAGGATGTGTTTTGTTCCATCTTGAATGTGCTAGTTGCAGGGGGTCGTATAATGAAATGAGATTGTGACAGATAGAGGTTGAGGATATGGTGAAGCTTTTCACCTCATCAGCAGTGGTACTTTTATAACACCTCTCATGGATTTGATGTCTAGTGATGCTCTAGCATCTTGCACCTCTCATGTGTTTCTGCTTGCTAGATTTATCCACAATGTAGACATCTAACATTTCTCTCTCCTTTTTTTGCTTTTCCAGGAAAGCTAGCAAACTGCAGGCTAAAGGA